GGTCTTTTTTTTTTTTTTTCTTTAAGAAAGCTAAAAATAGGCCCCCTAGGCCCGCAATCTGTTCTGGCTTGTAAGATTTCCACTGAGAAGTCTCATTAGTCTGATAGGATTTCTTTTATGGGTGATCTAATGCTTCCCTCCAGATGCCTTTAAGATTTTTTGCTTTAGCATTAAACTTGGATAGTATGATGACTCTATGCCTTGGTGACATTCATCTTTTATAGCATCTCCCAGATATTCTCTGAATTTCTTGCATCTGAATGTCTACTTCTATAGCAAGATCAGGGAAAATTCCTGAATTATTCTCTTAAATATAATTGCTTACTTTTTCTTCTTCTCTCTCAGGATTACATATAAATCATACATTTGGTCCCTTTACATAATTGCATATTTCTCAAAGACTTTGTTCATTAAAAGAATTCTTTTTTCTGTATTTTTGTTTTATTTGTTTAAACAGAAAGAGTGGTCTTCAAGCTCTGAAATTATCTTTTCTGCTTGGTCTAGTCTTTTACTATAGTTAAAGTTTAATAGATCTATTTTATCTTTCATATCCTAAGTTTTTGGGGGTTGATTTTCAACTTTCTTTTGCATCTCAGTGAGCTTTCTTACATCCATATTTTGAATCCTTTATCTGTCATTTCAGAATTTTCATTTTAGTCAAGATCCATTGCTAGAGAGCTAGTGTGATCCTTTGGAGGTGTCAAAACACTTTGTCTTTTTGGATAGCCAGAGTTTTTATGCTGATTCTTTCTCATCTGAAGGAGCTTGGTATAGTTTGGTTCTGTGTTCCACCTAAATCTCATCTTTTAACTCCCATAATTCCCACGTGTTGCGGGAGGCACATGGTGGGAGATGACTGAATCATGGGGGCAGGTATTTCCCATGCTGTTCTTATGATAGTAAATGTGTCTCACAAGATCTGATAGTTTTAAAAATGGGAGTTTCTTTGCACAAACTCTCTCTTTGCCTGCTGTCATCCACATAAGATGTGACTTGCTCCTCCTTGCCTTCTGCCGTGATTGTGAGACCTCCCCAGCCTTGTGGAACTGTAAGTCGAATAAACCTCTTTCTTTTGTAAATCGCCCAGTCTTGGTATGTCTCTGTCAACAGTGTGAAAAATGGACAAATATTGAGCTGTTGCTTCCTATTTTTTAATTTGCCAACATTTGAATGAGACTTTTAAAGTTTGTATTCTTTTTTCCCTTGAGGGTGTGGCTGTAGTATATATTGTGTATGATTGTTTGGCTTTGTTTCTGGGGGCTTTCAGGGGACCAAGGGTCTCTGTGGGTTCCTTGGTTATGGATATCATTTGTGTGGTTGCTTTCCCAGATACTGCTTGTTGTAGTGATGTGTAGGGTGTATGAGCTGACACAGTATCTTCTGTAGGGCTAGGAGTGTGGAAGTCTCAAGAAGCTTATCTCATATACTATCACTGCACTCTTCTGACAGCAGGTTTTTTGTTTGATGATGCAGTTCCGTCTCTAGTCCAGTAAGTGTCTCTTAAGGGTAAGAAGAGCTAGCTCACCCTCAGGTCATCTGATGGTGAGTGGAAACCCCTGCCTTGATGGGTGTGCTGAGGTCTCAGGGGTAGGGGCCAGCAGGGGGCTGCACCAGTTCCTCATCTGGGGCAGGCAGGAACATGATTCACTACCTATCATGCCCCTTTCACAGCACTTGTAACCCTCAGTTCATATAAACACTGTCCTTTGGCTCCTGGCCACTCCTGAGGTCTGTGAGAATGTTTCTATTGTGGCTACCACCAAAATGGCCTTGGGTCAGAGCCTCTTTTCCCAGTCCAGAACAGTCAGCTCTGTGACTTGTCTGTCCTCTATTGCAGGGACATTGCTACTTTGTGTAGGGAGCGGGAGATGGGCCCTGTTTTTTCTGAAAGACGAGGCAGTACCACCTCACTTTCAGTGGGGATGCAGCCACTGTGAAAAGTGCTAGAAAGCCTTTCTTCAATTGCATGAGTGCCAGCTCCCAGCAGGGAAAGCTTCTGCTGCATCTACAACAGTGAATGGGTGGAGTAGGAAATAGTCCCCTCTCCATGTCCCTTCCAAGCTACTACTACTGCCCCTTTCAGAAATTGGTGCTGTGCTTGCATTTTCTTTGTCCCAAGGAGCACTTTGGTGGGCTGTGCTCCCTGCTCCCCTAGAAGCAACCTGCACTGAGGGCTAGATTTCTGAGGTTCCTGCAGCTCCCCAGGTCCTGCCAGTCCCCCATGGTTGCCAAAGTCAGAGTGATTGTGGGGTATGTTTCTGGGGTATCTGGTGATACAACATCACAAAGGCTGATGTTGCTTGGGCAGGGCAGTGGCTCAGAACAGGTGCACAACCAGTATGGTGCCCACCATCTCAGTTCAGGCCTGAGGGGAGTGCCAGCACACCTGCCTGAGTTGGTCACCTGGTATTCTATTCTCAGGAAGTTCCCAAATCACCACTGACAGCATTGCCCAAGGTCATGAAGGCAGACGGGGCTCTCCCACAATTTGGTATTCAGCAGTTTGTTATGGGGGTGAGGTGAGAAGGGATGCACACTTATCTACCCTTTCTGTAAGACTCCAGGCTCCTCAGGGGTCAGTCTGTGCCAGATTCTTTCTGTTTTCCTTTTCTCTGCCCCAGCTTCTAACTTTGGGCTCCCTGGAAGACCCTGGCTCTCTTTCCTCCTCTCCTTCTCCATTTTAATTTCTAATACATAAATGGAGATAAATATGATCCACATAAAGAAAGGCCTTTTGGAATCTTCAAAATTCGTAACAATATAGAGGCTCCTGAGACCAAAAAGTGTGGGAACTGCTGAGCTGAGGGATAGTCAGAAGCATCTTCCAGTGAGAGGGAGCATCAGGATGCAGTGGGGTGGGCAGGTCTGCAAAGGAAGAAGGGTGATGGAGATTGCATGTGTCAGTGGTGCAATTTGACCTCAGTTTGATCTGACAGGACCTATCTCCTACCTTCTATTTTAATGGTTTTATGGGAATGTTGGTGATTGCCTGAACTGATTCCGTTTTCAATCTAAATAATTAAGTTACCTGTTCAAAGGTCTGCTATGCTTCTTAATTTCAGGGGTTGGAATTTTGTGGGGTAATCCAAATTTTATCTGTTCTATCCTGTTGTCCTGCGGGCATAATTGTCCTTATGAGGCAATTTTTTATTTCAGAAAATATGTCGCTGTTGGTTTGAGTCTATAAATTTGGAGACTGTATTTTTTAAAATTTTAAATAAACTTTTTATTTTTTGATCATTTTAGATTTATGGAAAAGTTACACAGATAGTACAGCATCCCCATATGACCCTCACCCAGTTTCCCCTATTGTTAACATCTTACATTACCATAACATATTTGTCAAAACTAAGAAACTAATATTAATACATTACTATTAACTAACTATATACTTCATTTGAATTTCACCAGTTTTTCCAAGTGTCCTCTTCCTGTTCCAGGATCCGGTCCTAGAGCACCACACTACATTTAATTGTCTATAGCAGTTTCTCAATCTTTCTTCATTTTTTATGACCTTGACAGTCTTTAGGTATATTGGCCAGGTAACCTATAGATGACTCCCAATCTGGGGTCTTTTTTAAATTATTAAACTAGGGTTATGGTTTTTGGAAAGAAAACAACAGAGATGAAGTGCCCTTCTCATCAGATCATAGCAGGGATACAGCATATCCACATGACGTCACTGGGGATGTTAACCTTCATCACTTGGTGTTTGCCAAGTTTCTAGGTTTCCCCACTGTAAAGTTACTATTTTTCCTCCTTTCCTGCTTTGTTTTTTAGAAACAAGTCACTAAGCCTAGCCCACGCTCTAGGAGTAAATTGCGGGAATTAAACTCTACTTCCAGGAAAGAAGGAATGTCTATAGATAGTAATTGAATTGTAATGTAAGAAAGATTGGTCTCCTCTCTCCCTTTTATTTTTTCATTCATTTATTTATATGAGTATGGTGAATTGTATTTGTCAAGCTTCTCCAGAGAAAGAGAACCAATAGGATACACACACAGACACATACACACACACACAAACACCACACATACGTACATATATATGAGATTTATTATAGGAATTGGCTCACATGGTTATAAAGGCTAAGAAGTCTCATGACTTGCTGTCTGCAAGCTGGAGAACTAGGAAACCTAGTGGTGTAATTCAGTCCCAGACTGAAGGCCTGGTGTAAGCCTTGGTCTAATTCCAAAAGTCCAAGAACCAGGAGCTCTGATGTTTGAGAGCTGGAGAATATGGATGTCCCAGCTCAAGCAGAGAACAAATTTGCTCTTCCTTCACCTTTTTGTTCTATTGAAGCCCTCAAGCGATTGGAGGATGCCCACCTCAATTGGTGAGGGTGATATTCTCTACTCAGTCTACTAGTCTGCTAATCTCTTCCAGAGATACTCTCGCAGACACACCCAGACATAATGTTTTGCCAGCTATCTGGGCTTCCCTTAACCCAGTCAAGTTAACACATAAAATTAACCACACAGTATGGATTCATATATATTTATTTTATGCTTTGGGATATATTATGCCATTTATGTTGTTGCTTAAATTGTTTCAGCTTGCAACTGACCATTGGGAACTTTTTCAGATTGCTACCTGGGCCCCTTTCATATGCCCTTATCCTTTTGTTTTTTGAGTATTTCCTTACTTTCTGGTATTATAAGATATTCTGGGCTTATTTTGTATTTTTCTTGTCCTGGCTTTAGAATCAACCACTTTTTCTGGCTTCTCTCACTGGAGAATGGTATTTAGAAACTAAGATCTGGGCAATGGGTGTGCTTGTTGCTATTGGGATGTCATTGCTTCTAGGCCTTCTCAGTAGATGGAGCTAGGTAATATATGTATATATTCTAACTCACAGATATAAATATATCTATAATTATTTCTATATTTATCCATTTACATATATGTTAAGATAAACATGGTGGAGACCCTTCGAATTTGCTTATGTTCCTTTTCAGCCTATAGACCAGATATAATAATTAGCTTTTCTTCTCTTGCAGATTCCAGAGAGTCCTCTATTTCATATGTGCCTTCCAGAACATCTCTTGTGGTATTCACTACTTGGCTTCTGTGTTCATGGGAGTCACCCCTCGTCATGTCTGCAGGCCCCCAGGCAATGTGAGTTTGGTTGTTTTCCACAATCACTCTAATTGGAGTTTGGAGGACACCGGGGCCCTGTTGTCTTCAGGCCAGAAAGATTATGTTATGGTGCAGTTGCAGAATGGTGAGATCTGGGAGCTCTCGAGGTGTAGCAGAAACAAGAGGGAGAACACATCAAGTTTGGACTATGAATACACTGGCAGTAAGAAAGAGTTTCCTTGTGTGGATGGCTACATATATGACCAGAACACGTGGAAAAGCACTGCGGTGACCCAGTGGAACCTGGTCTGTGACCAAAAATGGCTCGCAATGCTGATCCAGCCCCTATTTATGTTTGGAGTCCTACTGGGATCGGTGACTTTTGGCTACTTTTCTGACAGGTAAAATCAAATATTTAGGATTGTTGCATTAGTGTAGGGTTTATTTTCCTATCTCATTTTCTTGGGAGACAAGGAATTATGTTTAAAACTTGTCATTTTTATACTTCCTGTCTAAATTCCTACCTCTATGCTGATCCATTATTTAGGGATGTATAATGATAAGGATAGGCTCTGAAGACAGTATACCTGGATCCAAATCCTGGTTCTACCACTTATTAACTGTGAACCCTAGGCAAATTGCCTAACTTACCTGCATTTCAGAATCTTTGTCTATTAGCTGGTGATAAAAAATATTATCACTTACTTCAAAGGATTATTGCAAAGTTAATACAGAACAAAAGTACCCTGGACATATAACCACTCAATAGATACTTTGAATATTTTCTTCTCTTTCAATAGACTTACTTTTTAATAGGAGTAGCCTGATTCTAAGCAGTATATCTGTAAAATTATGGGCTTGATATAACAGCCTCTTTTAGTCTTTTTGTGCTGCTGTAACAAAATACCACAGACTGGGTAATTTACAAACAATAGAAATAGAACTATTTCTCATAGTTCTGGCAGTTGGGAAGCCCAAGATAAGGTGCCAGCAGTATTGCTGTTGGGGAAGGCTGTTGTTTGCTTTCAAGATGATGCCTTATTGCTGCATCCTCTGGAGGGGATGAATGCAGTGTCCTCACATGGAAGAAGGGGTGGAAGGGCAAGAGAGTGCTCGCTTCAACCTTGAGCCCTTTAGTAAAGGTGCTAAGGGCCCTGCTGTCGTGACTTTATCACCTCCCAAGGCCACCCCTCTTAATACTCTTGCGCTGGAGATTAAGTTTCAACATGAATTTTGGAGGGAATACTATCATTCAAAGCATAACCTGGCCATATATTTTTAAAATTTACATTAAAATGAATATGTAATTCTTAAAATAAACAAAGTTTTTATCGCTGTATGAACATGGACTACACCAAAGCACAGAGATGAACTTATTGGGTCTCCATAGTTGTGGATTTTACAAGCATGTGGTGGGCATTGAGTAGCTAAAGACAACAGCTTAGATCGGAAATCCCTGCTCTTGAGATATACCAGTCTAATGGGGCTGATAAACATGTCAAAAGAAAAATCATAGGGCTTTGTCATGGGCAGGACCATACCGCTCATAGTACGTTCAAAGGTACTAGGTATTAGTGTTTTCATTCAGCAAGCTGTTACACAAATTATCACTTGGGCCTTTTCTGTAGAAATGTGTTCACTGCTTGACTCTTGAAACTCAAAATATTTGCAACTACATGTATGAAATGTACTAAAATACATTTGCTGTATGACAAAAATGGAATATAAATAATGCTTATAACAAGGTCAGAGTACAAAATACATTAACTGAAAATAAATTTAGTTCCTTTGTCTGAACTTGGTATAGTTATATAGACATATATTGAACACTTACAATCACTTTGATAGATGCAGAGATGTATATATGTATAATAATATATAAATAAATAAAAATATATTAGTGAAATTATACATATATTTCACTGAAATATATGTAATATATAAATATATATTACACTGAAATATATGTAATATATATAGTTCACTGAAATATATGTAATATATAAGATATTATTATATATAAATATATTACATACTTTCAGTGAAATATATATAAATATATATTTATATATATAATTATATATAAAATTTATATATAAAATATGTATTTCACTGAAATATATGTATATAATATATATATGAAAGCAAGTTTATTAAGAAAGTAAAGGAATAAAGAAGGGCCACTCCATAGGCAGAGCAGCCACGACGTATATTTTAAAAGTCCTTGAGAATTTGCAAACCGTTAACTGGTATTCATTTGGATGTGTAGCTTGAATTCAAATGACTTGGGAGCTCCAGAAAAACCGTAAGCTAAAAAATTGGTTTGACATGGTCCATGACTCCCAGTGTCTGTATTCTCTCAGCGGAACTTGTTGAAAGAGACAGCCTCCTTGCACTTCTTGTAGTCTTCTACACTTCTTGCTGGATGTGCCAAGATGGCAAGTCCCTGACCACTTTTTTCTCTGGGTCATTTCTCAGAGCTGTCTATGCAGCCAGTACCTTAAAAGATGAGTGCTATGGTTTAGATATGATTTGTCTGTTCCCACCAAAGCTCATGTTGAAATGTGATCCCCAGTGTGGCGGTGTTGGGAGGTGAGGCCTAGTGGGAGGTGTTTGGGCTATGGGGTGAATCCCTCATGAATGCATTGGTGCTGTTCTCATGGCAGTGAGTGAATGAGTTCTGGCTGTCACAAGACTGGATTAATTCTCACAGGAATTGATTAGTTCCTGCAAGAGTGGATTATTTTAAAGTGAGGACGCCCCTCAGGTTTCTCCCTGTTTACATGTGTCTGCTTTACCTTTGACCTTCTCTGCCGTGTTGTAATGTAGCATGAAAGCCCTTGCAGGAAGCCAGTACCCTTGATCTTCCCAGCCTGCAGAACTATGAGCTAAATAAACCTCTTTTCTTTATAAATTATCCAATATCAGGTGTTCTTTTATAGAAACATAAAATTAACTGATATGATGAGATAATGTCCCCTCTCTGCCCCAAAGAGTAGGCTTCCTAACTGCTTGCTACAAAACCAGTGAATTCCCCACATGCAGTGTTCCCCCTCTCTAATTCAACCCACTATCTGTGAAGTGTCATCTGGTTTATTGTGGGACTTGGAGATTAGAGGAACTGAGACAAAGATGCTGCTGCCCTGCTGCTTGCTAATGAAGTAAGTAATGAAGTTCTTTGTTTCTGACCCAACCATCTTGTGTTTTTGCCAGCAGCCCTTAAACAGTACAGATTAATGTATTAACTTAGAGTAAAATAAAATTTAATACTCTTTGTTTACCCTCATCTTGGGCTTGAGAGGATTCTCATAAATTATTTTTCAAGGTGAATAAGTAGCTCAGTGAAAACCAAAACACATGGTTAAAAGGGACCATGAGTGAGAATCAGCAGAAACAATTGGCAGCAGAAGCAGACTTCTGCACAAAAACTTCAAATGCTAGAATTATCAGGCATAAATAACTATTTTTGAAGAAATAGAAGACAAGCTTAAAAATATTGATGAAAACTGGACATTGTATTAAAACTGACATAAAATTGAAGAATACCTAGGACATCTACAGATAAAAAGTGAAATAGGTGGATAATAAATCACCTGGATAGTTTTAACAACCTGTCTTGCACAGCTACAAAAAAATTCATGAAATGGATGATAACTCAGAAAAAGTTATCAATATTAAAGCTCAGAGAGACAAAGAGGTGGGAAATATGAGAGATTAAAATTCATGGAGGCTGAAAAGGGAAAAGATCTGAAATGTATGTAATATTAGAAACTAATCAATGGTGTTTACCACATTAACATATTAGAGAACAAAATTCATACGATCAACTCAATACTTATAGGAAAAGCATTTGATGAATTTCAAAATCCATTCATGATAAAAACTGAAAGTAGAAGAATGCCTTTAACCTGATAAAAGTTTTCTACAATAAGGTTTACCATGAATATCCTAATTGTGAAGTTTAAAATATTAATTAATTTCTTTTTTCTTTCTTTCTTTGTTTTTTTTTTTTTTAGACAGGGTTTTGCTATGTTGCCAAGGCTGTTCTTGAACTCCTGGGCTCAAACAATTCTCCTGCCTCAGCCCTCCCAAATAGATGGGATTACAGGCATGCACCACTGCACCCAGCTCTTAATTCTGAAATGTTAAAAACTTTTCCTTTGAAATTAGGAACAGACAAGGATGTATGAAATACATCTTCTACTTAGCATTGTATTGGATAGTCTAGCCAGTGCTATAAGGAAAAAGAGAGAGAAAGAGGGAGAAGGAAAGGAAGCAAGGAAGGAATAATGATTGGAAAGGAGAAATAAAAAGTCATTATTTGTAGTCATTACAATTTTGTATGAAAAAGTCCTACATATGAGTTGTTAGAATTAATGAGCATTTAAAATTAATTATATTTCTATATACCAGTAACAAATAAAAAATTTTTAAAAATGTCATTGCAGAAGCCTAAAAATATGAAATATAAATGGTTAAATATAGCAAAAAGTGAGGAAGGCCCTCTGTGGAGAAAATTATAAACTTTAAGAATCAGATCATTGAAGTAAATAGATATATCACTAGACAAACAGATTGAGGCTCCTTCAGAGGCTCCTGGAATAGACTTGTGCATTCATAAACCTAAGTATAGACACATAAGGCATTGTATATTAACAGGAAAAGGATCAATCAATAAGTGGTGCTGAGACAGATGTCTAGCCATATAGAAGGAAATACAATTGGATTCATTTTCTAACATTTTACAGTACAATAGCAGTTCCAGAAGGACTAAATGTGCATATGTGAAAAAGCAAAACTATACAACTTTAGGAAAATAGTTTAGGAGAATATTTTCAGAACGTAATGGAAGGAAGGATGATTTTTTAAAACACAAAAAGCATTGACTATGAAAGAAAAGAGGGATAAATTTGACTTCGTTACAAGAATTTTTGCCCACCAAAAGACACCATTAAAAGAGGAAAGATATGAATGTGCACACACAAGAGAGAGAAAATATTTGCTTTACATATAACTAAATTATTAGTGTCCAGAATAATCAAAGGATTGTTGCTTACATCAATGGGAAAAAGACAACCCAATAGAAAAATGGGAAAAAGATTTTAAGTCACTTCATAGAAAAGAAAATCCAAATGGCTAATGAAAAGATGAACTGTCAGTGATATATAATCACACCATTTACTTTTGACCAGTTGTCAGAAGTCAAAAGTCTTGTAATGCTAAGTGTTGGCGAGGACATGGAGTAATAGGATCTCTCATCCTGCTGGTGTGAATGCAAATTAAGAATCCAAGTTGGGTTAACCTTGAAGACTGATTTGGTATCATATAGAGTTGGTGATGTGCACAGGCACATGCTCCGGGGCATATACCCTGAGCATGCTCTTGCAAAGGTCCACAGAGGTACATGCATAAAAGTGCTCCCACAACATTGTTCCTAACAGCCCTGCACTCTGAACAACCCAGATGCCCTTCAGTCGTCTCATGGACACATGTATTATAATATATTCTTACAGTAGAATATGTAGGCATAAAAATGAATGAGCCACAGCTACATGAAACAACATAGATGAATCTCCTATACATAATGTTTGGTAAAGGAAGCAAGTCACAAAATAATACATGTGATATTATCCTGTTATAGAAAATTTAAAATCATAATAGCAAAACTAACCTATACTGTTTATAAACAGTAACCTGTATTGTTTAGCATTGCTTATAAAAGTTGTAAAGTGAAACAAAAAACAAGAGATTGTCACCAAAATTAGAAAAATGTTTCCTCCTAGAAAGGGGAAGGGGATTTGTAGTCACAAGAGAGTTGCAAGAAGCTATCAGGAGGCTGGCAATCATCTCTTTCTTGCCTTGGGTTGTGATTTCTAGACATTTGACTTTTTATTATTCTTGAAGTTGTATATATTTTATGCATTGTTATATATGTATAAAATATTATAATAAAAAATCAAAGAAATAAGATCTGATCCCACCCTTAAGGCGCTAACAGTGGAGAATATAGACTTTTAAACAGGTAATTTCAATGAAATGTGGTAAATGCTTTTCTTTTTCTTTTTCTTTTCTTTTTGAGAAGGAGTCTAGCTCTGTTGCCCAGGCTGGTGTGCAGTGGTGTGATCTCGGATTACTGCAATCTCTGCCTCTCAGATTCAAGTGATTCTCCTGCCCCAGCCTCCCGAGTAGCTGGGACTACAGGCATGTGCCACCACACCTGGCTAATTTTTGTATTTTTAGTAGAATAGGGGTTTCACCATGTTGGCCAAGCTGGTCTTGAACTCCTGACCTCAAGTGATCTGCCTGCCTTGGCCTCCCAAATTGCTGGGATTATAGGCATGAGCCACGGTGCCCAGCCAGTAAATGCTTTTAAAATAATAAAAACTCACATTTATGAACACTTTATTATACACTAGGTACTATTCTAAATGTCTTATATATCATCTCATTTAATTATTTAAAGAAGTCTGAGAGATAGACACTATTGTCCCCCTCCCTTTTTTTTTTTTTTTTTTGAGATGTGGTCTTGCTCTGTGCCCCAGGCTGGAGTGCAGTGGCGCGATCTCGGCTCACTGCAAGCTCCGCCCCCCCGAGTTGACGCCATTCTCCTGCCTCAGCCTCCCGAGTAGCTGGGACTACAGGCACCCGCCACCTCGCCCGGCTAATTTTCTTGTATTTTTAGTAGAGACAGGGTTTCACCGTGTTAGCCAGGATGGTCTCGATCTCCTGACCTCGTGATCCGCCCGCCTCGGCCTCCCAAAGTGCTGGGATTACAGGCTTGAGCCACCGCGCCCGGCCCCCCCTCCCTTTTTTTAACCAATAAGGAAGAGGAAGCATAGAAAGTTCACATGGAAAATAAGGGATGGAGCTGGGATTTGAGCCCAGGCCAGCATCCCCAACTACTGCATTACACTATTTCTGAATTTCTGCTATGAGACCCCAAGGGATGATCAATGGAAGTTGTCAGATAGAGAAGGCCCCCAAGGGAAAGGAATAGCTTTGTGTCATGAAACAACCTGGCATGTTCAGAGAATTGTGGGAAAGTCAGTGTGGCAGAAGTAGAGAAGGGCAGATTGTTAAAGGAAATGACAAGAGACAAAACCACAATGGGGATTATTTCATTTCTAGGAAGTGTGGGAGGTGTACTGGTGTGCGGTTAGGAAGACCAGCTGGGAAGCTATTGGGATGAATTACGTAAGAAATGGTGAAGACTTGAGTGAAAACGGGAAAAACAGGGAGGAAAAGATGAAGACATATTTGGGAGGCATTTCTAAACTGACAAAATTTGATGACCAATATGCAGGAGGGTGCGGAGGAATGTATTAAGGTTTAGAAGCCTGATGGAAGGGGATTTTGCTAACCAGTTCAGGACATACTAAGGAGAGAGCAGCTTTAGAAGAGAAGGGAACACATCTGGATATATTCCAATGAGCTTGTCCTATCCCTATATTAAGAAAAACAAAGTGAAGATGTATTCAAAGTTAATACCAATTACAACAGCAATAAGAGATTGCAGCTCTACAGGACATTAAAGTGGAGAAGAGCAACTGGGGCCAGAGGGTGGGTGGGGAGTTAATAGCCTATACCTAGGAATCCAAGCCAGGGAAGTGGATGAAATTGCAAGGGCAGAGTGTGCAGCAGAGGACTTTAGGGAGTGCCAGCATTGAGGCAGGTGGGTCATCAAGGAGGTACAAGCGGAACCAGATGAGTGGGATATTTCGCAAGCCAAGGGTAGGCACAGTCAGTGGCACTAGAGAGGACAGCCAGAAAGGACCAGGAGAGGCAACGTGCAGGTCCCTGGTGACTGCAAAGTGAGCTCAGAAAAGCTGGTTGCACCTGGTCATCATTGGCTGAGGAAACAAGTAGGAGTTGAGGAAAGAAATATTCCCTTCCGATAAATCTGTCAAGGGAGGAAATGCAAGGTGGCTAAAGGAACGATGGAGTCAAGAGAAGATTCTTGTCTTTGGTTGGAGGTGATGAAAACTGAACGGAAGAAGTCAAAGGAGAGGGAAAAACAAAGGAAAAAGAAGTGATGGGTTTCAGAGGAAGTGGGAAGAGGCACAATCCAATACAGAGATTGCAAAATGATATTTGGAGAGAAAGGGGCATGTGTCTTCAGAGAGGCAGGAAGAGAAGGCTGAATGCAAATGCAGTTCGTGTTGGTAAGTGGACAGAGCAGGAAGTTGTGGGGCTTCCTCTCTGATGGTTTCTGTTCTCTGCAGGAGATGGCCATTTATCTACTGAGAGAGAAGACACTGGAGGTGGGAGAGAAGGTCAGGCAGTGATAGGTAAAAATAGTTGTAGGTGGCATTCAGGGCTAAAATTGAATTGGGGAACATTCATATATAGGGCCAATAATCCCCACTAATGTGCAAAGAAGCAAAGAAGGCTGAAGTGTGAAGAAGACGACGGTTTCTTGTTTATTTGCATATCCTCTGCTGCACCAAGCAAATCTGTTGGTTGTAATCTCCAGACAATATCCTTTTGCCTTCAACTATTTGTCAGAGACAACCCATAGGTGGAAAATATTCACAAATTATATATCTGATAACGGCCTAGTATCCAGAATATATAAAGAGCCTTACAACTCAATATTAAAAAAGCAATAGACTAATTCAAAAATGGGCAAAGAATTTGGATAAACATTTCTCTAAAGAATATATGCAAATAGCCAATATGCACTTGAAAAGATGCTCAACATCATTAATCATTAGGGAATTGTAAATAAAAACCACAATCAGATACTACTTCACAGCCACTGGGATGGCTATAATGAAAAAGGCAGACACTAACAAGTAGTGGGGAGAATGCAGAGAGATCGAAATGCTCATACATTGCTGGTGGGAATGGAAAAATGGGGTGACCATCTTGGAAACCAGCTTGGCAGTTCCTCAAAATGTTACATATAGAGTTACCATATGACTACCATATACAGTAGTAGGAATTTAACTACTAGGTATATACCCAAGAGAATTGAAAACATAAGTTCAAACAAAATCTTGTTCATAAATGTTCAGAGCAGCATTATTCGTAATAGCCAAGAAGAGGAAAATGAGCGATCAACTGATGAATAGATAAATGTGGCATATCCGTAGAATGGTGCTACTCAAGAGAGAAAAAAGGAATGAAGTGCTGATACATGCTACAACACAGATGAAGCTGGAAACCCCAATGCTAGGGAAAAGAAGCCAGACACAAAAGGCCACATATTGTTTGACTCCATTTATGGGAAATGTCCAGAACAGACAAATCTATGGAGACAGAAGGTAGATGAGTGGTTGTCAGGGACTGGAGGGAGAAGGGAATAGGGAGTGGCAGCTCCCGGGCACAGAGTTTCTTCTGGGAGTGATGAATGTATCCTGGAATTAAAGAGTGATGATGGTTGCACAACCTTGCAAATATACTAAAAACCACCAAGTTGTCTACTTTAAAAGGTTGAATTTTATGGCATTTGAATTATATCACAATTTAAAAATCTGTCAGAAATAGTATTTGTTTTTTAAACAAAGAGATGCCTCTATCAATTATGAAAAGATAGGGCAAGTAAGCACATTATTCTAGAAGTAGAAGGTAAGAAGGCCTCTGTTTTTAGAGGGGCTTGGCAAGAGCTGTCATAGCCTTGGTGGACAGAACCAGCCTGGCAGGGAAGATGATCCCACAGGCAGCCAAAGTCCTGGAAGGGAGAGGACAAATTCTCCTCTCTCTTCACCCAATCCCAGGTTAAGGGGTCCTGCGGGGATGACTCAGAGTGATCAGGTATGTATATTAGCAACTCAGGTAGAGGTCTCTCCACTGAACAGCTGGTTTTTTAAAGAAGCCATGGAACTTATGTTTTGCTCAAAATAAATAAAAACAATCAATACATAAGCTATTCAAGGTATGTGGGTAAGCCTATCTTTTATGAATTGGAGTGGATGTTTAAACTGTTACAACTCTACCTTGCACTGTGTGACTCTTATTTTTCAGGCTAGGACGCCGGGTGGTCTTATGGGCCACAAGCAGTGGCATGTTTTTGTTTGGAATAGCAGCGGCGTTTGCAGTTGATTATTACACCTTCATGGCTGCACGCTTTTTTCTTGCCATGGTGAGTTGTGTTTTTTACCTCTTTAATTCCGCTGCAGTATTTTCATAGGAAATCTTAACTCTCTTCATTTTGCTCATTTAGGATCTAGTGAGCGAGATCAAGGACTAATCTTTGTCCACTCCACTGCAGAAATCTGTCTACAGTATACCAATGCCTTATGTTTAGAATGGAACTCATTAAAGTGAAAAATTGTTGCTGGCTAGGCAGAAGTGTATTTGCCTCTGTGTCGGGCATGTGGTGCACATCTCACAATTACTGAGGCATTATTTTATTTCTGAGTAATTATATTGGTCTAGTCAGGGCCTGTTCACTTGAACAAACAGACACTTAAGGTGTGTGGTTAAAGTCACTTGTATAATGTACAGGAAGAATGAAAACAGGAAGGCATTAGGTCCTTATGTTACCAAAAACAGGAGTTTAGTGGAAAGGGCGTGAGCTTGAATACCAGCTTTGTCATATATTGGCTTGTTAATTGTATGACTTTGAGCACACTCATTATCCTCTTTGAACCTTAGGTTGTAGTCTGTAAACTGTCCATGTTATTATTATTATTCTTAGGATTCAGGGAGATTAATTATAAACAACCACAGTACAGCACCTGGTTACAATGGTAACTGTTACTAGAAATGGACTGGCCAGCAAGGAAGCTGTTTCCATGCTCAATGAGGCTTCCAGATAGATTTCTAACTATCAAACAACAGCAGCGGTGATTTTCGGTTGGAAATCACTGATCTAGGATAATAGAGGGAAGTTTCCATCTGGAGGAGGAGCTTGTGATCTTGCTAAACGCAGAGCAGCAGGTTGGATGGTCTGAGGGTCCAGAGAGAAGCAAAGGGCTTCAATCTCTCTGCACCCCCTCAGAGAACAAGATGGGGTGTCAGTTTTGGAGTCTTTTTTGATGGATAGAAAGGGTTTCTAGCAAGCCGTACAGATGGCCAAGGATAAGGGAAATGCATAAAGATAAATCTAGGGGACTAGAAGGTGTTGTACCTCATCAAAAAATAAATACATATATTTAGGAATGTAAAGAGTTTTAAATACAAGATAGCAACCAGTGGTTCTGTTTCCACAGAGGACATAACTCTGTGACTGTACAGTGAGATTTCATGAGAGAAACCTTCTGGTGGGACTGAAGGTTCCACAAAGGCACAGGTACTGAGAAAGTATAAAGGTCATCTTTTGGAAGACTTAAGAGGATATTTCTGAAAATATCTGTTTCAGTCTTGCAAAATACCATGTGTTGGTTTCCAGACCCAAGGAAACAAGGCCACACCCACAGAATACATCTGTGAAACGTAGCCTTAATTTTCTGTGACTATTTCCTTTGATGTTCATGGGAAGTGGATTTGTGGTAGAATTCTGAGGATGGGAGATGCAGGCAGATCAATTACTTAACGCATTTACTCATCTGCCTACAGAGTGTAATGCTAAGTAAACCAGACTCAGCTGTCTCAGTAAGTCTAGTAGGAAAGGCAAGACATTGATCAGCCATCTTCAAAATAAAATGTTGACAGTGAGGGCATAACAGCAGTGGGTCTGGAGGGTTCACCAGGGTCTGGAGGGTCAAGGGCTTCCTTGTTGTGAGAGATGGGTGAGAGAAGAACATTCCAGCAAAGATAGAAGCAGATGAAAGGGCCCTGAGATTAGAAAGAAAAGCTGAATGTCTGGAGAATAGAGAGGAGGAGAGACGCATTGATAAGGCTGAAGGGGTCAAGGCGGTTAGGTGGGGCTTTGTAGGATTGTCAGGATTTTGCTCTGTCTCCTAAAGGCAATGGCAATGCACAAAGGGAATTCTGGGAATTCTGGCTGCTATGATAGGGTGGAATCCGAGAAGATGTGAGGAGTAGAGTATTATCGGTGGAAGGGATGGGTGTGAGTGGATTCACAGTGTTTTGGAGTTAGTTGTATATGGATTTTCTGAATCCAATGACAGAAGAACTTGTAGCTGCCTCATGAGAAATAATTAGCATTGAAAAACCTGACAGGGACAAATATTACAGCTTAATTTAACTGGGAAATTTATAGTATTTGAAAGTTATCACAATCTTTGTTTAGTGTAACAGCATCACTTACCAAAAGCGACTTCTGGATTCTTGGATATAGGGTCCCGATGATCTGAGTCTTCCATTACAAAGTTGCACAGAGAAATAAAAGCTGTTGTCATAAAAATGTTAAACTGATTATGAATACATTAGTACTCATCAAGTACCTCCATGCCTCCTGCTAGTGTCAACCCTTTCTGACAGTAGGAATATTCTTGTAGGCCACTGCTTTGTGACTGTCTGATGCAAGGCGAAATTGCAGTTATTACAAGGGACATGTGTTTACAAAAAGTCTTTAAAAGCAATGAGGGAACATGGGAACACTGTCTGAATCTTGCCCACAAGATTTGGCCAGTTGGGATTTGGCAGAGAGAGACCTGTTAACTTTTGAAGAAATTAACATCTGCAAGGATAATCACATAGTGAGCCTTTGAAAGAGTATGATTCAAATATCTAATGATTAAGAGAGGCCTTTGGGGAAATCAGTGGTGCTCTCGAATAATTTTACAAAAATTAACTTTATGATTTGTGCTGTAGAAGTCAAATATGAAATAATTTTGTAGAAAAAATTCTTAGCCCCCTCCTCCCAAAAAACCATCATTGGACTCATTCTTTGTTTATTCCAAGAATGGTCACATATTATATTCTAATCACATATTGTAATCTAATTTTTATTAAAGATAGGCATATTTTCAAAATAAAGTTTTTCCCCAGTTTTCCTTCTTGTGGTAAAGTACACATAACACAAAATTTACCATCGTAACCATTTTTAAGTGTACAGTTCAGTGATATTAAGTGCATTCATTCTGTTGTGCAATTATCACCACCGTGCATCTTCAGAACTCTTTTCGTCTTGCAAAACTGAAACTCTGTCCATTAAATAATAACTCTCTGTTCCCTGTCTCCCTAGTCCCTGACAACCACCATTCTACATTCTTTCTCTCTGAGTTTGGCCACTCTGGTACCTCATGAAAGTGGACTCATACGATGTTTGTCTTTTTGTGACTGGCTTATTTCACTTAGTGTAATATTCATTGTATGCATAGACTACATTTTTCTTATATATTCATCTATGGACAGACACTTGGGGCGTTACTTCCACGCTTTAGCTGTTGTGAATAATGCTATGAGCAGGTGTGTACAAATATCTCTTCCAGACCCCACTTTCAACTCCTTTGGATATATACTCAAAGGTGGAATTGCTGGATCATGCTGTAATTGTTTTTTAAGCAATCGTCATATTGTTTTTCCTAGAGGCTGTACCATTATACATCTCTATCACACATTACACATGTGTTCCAGTTTCTCTGCATTCCCGCTAAAACGTGTTATTTTGGTTGTTGTTGTTTTTTTTTAATTAGCCACCCTAAGGGGTGTGAGGGGGTATCTCTTTGTAGCTTTGATTTGTGTTTCTCAATGATTGGTAAACATTTGTATTTCTTCTATTTGAAATGTCTATTCAAAGCCTTTGCCCATTTTTGAATTGCATTGTTTGTGTTTTTGTTGTTGTTGTTGGGTTTTAGGAGTTCTCCATAGAATCCCTTATCAGATATTTGATTTGCAAGTATTTTATCCAGTTCTGTAGGTTGCCTTTTCACTCCATTGATAGTGTTCTTTGATGCACAGTTTTAATTTTCATGAAGTCTAATTTGTCTACTTTTCTTTGTCTGTCAAAATAAAATTTTGATTAAATCTGTTTTTCTTACCACTAGTTAGCGTAAAGTTTTTGTCTCCATTTAGCAATTAGGATTTAACAATAAGGACCTCCTGGATACAGATAACTTGATGTGTACATTTACAAGGGACTGAGAAATACATCCACATTATAATGGAATATTTCTATGAAACAAAAGGCAATGTCTAACATTTATATCATAAATAATCTCTAAAGTTTTGCCATTTTGGGCGGGTATGATGAGGGAAGATGAAAGGACCTATAAGAAAAAAAAAAAGATAGATAGGATTGAATGTCATTTTATACATCTGATAGGGGTTTCAGAAAGCAAGTCTTTGTCATTTTCCTTTTTGCCTATATATGATTTGCAATGGGGTCAGACTCCTCAACAGTTATAAATGTGATCTTGAATATAGATCCCTATTATTTGTTTTTCAGGTTGCAAGTGGCTATCTCGTGGTGGGGTTTGTCTATGTGATGGAATTCATTGGCATGAAGTCTCGGACATGGGCGTCTGTCCATTTGCATTCTTTTTTTGCAGTTGGAACTCTCCTGGTGGCTTTGACAGGATACTTGGTCAGGACCTGGTGGCGTTACCAGATGATCCTCTCCACAGTGACTGTCCCCTTTGTTTTGTGCTGTTGGTTGCTCCCAGAGACACCTTTTTGGCTTCTCTCAGAGGGACGATATGAGGAAGCACAAAAAGTAGTTGACATCATGGCCAAGTGGAACAGGACAAGCTCCTGTAAACTGTCGGAATTTTTATCACTGGACCTACAAGGTCCTGTTGGTAATAGCCCCACTGAAGTTCAGAAGCACAGCCTATCACATCTGTTTTATAACTGGAACATTGCGACAAGGACGCTTACCGTTTGGCTAATTTGGTTCACGGGAAGTTTGGGATTCTACTCCTTTTCCTTGAATTCTGTTAATTTAGGAGGCAATGAATACTTAAACCTCTTCCTCCTGGGTAAGTAGTTAAAATATATTTAAATTTGGCAGTGAAGTGAGATTTCTACCATTTGTGTGTGTGTGTGTGTGTGTGTGTGTTTCTGTGTGAATTTGAGAAAAAGAGTGTGTTTTTAATGGGCCTTTTAAAACCAAGAACAATACTGCCAACCATATTATTATGATATCTCTTAGCGTTATGTTGTAACACATGTACATATGAGGGGACTTCAACCAGTTCATGGAAAAATGGAATTAAAAGATAAAAATCTAAAACATAAACTTTCTCAACATGATTGCCGTCAAGGTCAAGACATTTTTGTAAGACATCAGCCATTTAGTCCATCCCTGAAGAACTGAGGGTCCTGAGAATGTACCCATGTCAGTGCGATCTTATTTACACTATTAACTGAAGAAAAATGGGTGCCGCGTACAAATTTTTTAAGATTAGGAAACAGAAAGAAGTCAGAAGGAGCCACCATGAGAACCATAAGGTGGCTGCCTAGTGATTTCTCATCAAAATTCTTGCAAAATTGCCCTTGTTGATGAGAGGAATGAGCGGGCACGTTGTCATGGAGGAGAAGGAATCTCTGGTGATGTTTCCCAGGCATTTTTCTACAAAAGCTGTGGCTAATTCTCTCAAAACAGTCTCATCATAAGCAGATATTTTCATTCTTTGGCCCTCTAGAAAGTTAACAAGCAAAATGCCTTGAGCATCCCCAACAAACGTTGCCATGACCTTTGCTCTCAACTGGTCCACTTTTGCTCTGACTGGACCACAGCCCTTCTTGGTAGCCATTGTTTTGGTTGGGCTTTGTCTTCAGGATCACAGTGGTAAAATCGTGTTTCATCTCGTGTTAAAATTCTCCAAAGAAATCCTTCAGGATATTGATCCCACGGGCAGTTTAAAATTTCCATGGGCAGTTCTACCCTTCTCTGCAACTGATCTGGGAACAACTGTTTTGGCACCCATTGAGTGGAAAGTTTGCTCAACTTTAATTTTTCAGTCAGAATTCTGTAAGCCAGACTAATTGAGATATCTATGGTATTGGCTATTGCTTCTGCTGTTAATCTTAGTCCTTGTCAATTAGGGCTTAAACAAGATGTATTTTTTTCCTCAGTGTGGATGCTCTGCCCCTGTGGTCTTCATCTTCAATATTATCTTGTCCTTTTCATAAGGCATCAGTGATTTCACCATTCTTCCACCCAAGCTTCACCATAAATTTAATGTTTGTTCTTGCTTCAATTTTAGCAGAATTCATGTTGCTCTAGTGGGACCTCTTTTCAAACTGATATGTTATGCTTCTGAGTGCCTCAAACTAGCTCCTCTTCAGACATGTTCTAAGAAGTTAGTACAAATTTCTTTTAGTGCAGAAAAAAATCTGAAGACACATGCATAGTTTTTTCATAATATGCACTTTCCATTAACTTTTTTTTTTTTTGAAATGGAGTCTTGCGCTGTCGCCCAGGCTGGAGTGCAGTGGTGTGATCTCAGCTTACTGCAATATCCGCCTCCTGGGTTCAAGCGATTCTCCTGTTTCAGCCTCCTGAATAGCTGGGATTATAGGCACATGCCACCATGCCCAGCTAACTTTTGTATTTTAGTAGAGACGGGGTTTCACCATGTTGACCAGGCTGGTCTCGAACTCCTGACCTCAGGTGATCCGCCCACCTTGGCCTCCCAAAGTACTGGGATTACAGGCATGAGCCACAGTACCCTGCCATCCTACCTTTTTGAAAACTCCTTGTATTTTCCATTTGAAAAAAATGCAGCAGAAGAATTTAGTTCCTCCCTTTCTGCCTTCTCTCCTTGCTACCTTTTTCACACCAGTCCTTAACCCAGAGCTCTTCCCAGGGGTAACTTCTATAATGTTTGGGTTGCACCCTTTCAGATCTATTTCTGTGCCTTTGTGCCGGGCATGGTGGCATGTGCCTGTGGTTCCAGCTACTTGGGAGGCTGAGGTGGGAGGATTGCTTGAGCCCAGGAGTTCTGGGCTGCAATACGCTATGCTAATCAGGTGTCCACACTAAGTTCAGCATCAGTATGGTGACCTCCTGGAGCAGGGAACCACCAGGTTGCCTAAGGAGGGGTGAACTGGCCCAGGTCGAAAATGGACCAGATCAAAAGTCCTGTGCTGATCAGATCTGTTTCTATGCATTTCCATATATTTGTGCATATAAATGTTTTATATTTTAACATAAATGAGATCACTCACTATATATTGTTCTTTGTAAGTTGCTTCCCTTTTAAAATTTAATATGCCTGGGCTATCTGGCATCTCTCAACCTTCAGGTGTCCTTAATTTATAAATTTTTGTTGGTAAAATAACTTTTAAACACATGCAACTATAATTTTTGTTGTCATACCTGTTTCATTTTAATGGCAGGTTAAATCACTTTAGATAGCTTGAGATGTGACTCCTAGCATAAACCAAATTTGAACTAAAATGTGAGAGAAATATTAGAAACCTCTTTTTATCCATCTAGTCTTAACTCCTGGTTATTTCTATGTAGGCTGCCTGTATTTTATATGATCCTCAAAACATCTTGCTTCTAAATTTTTATACATAGACATCGTGCCATCTCATTAAGGTGCTCTGATGACACATCTAGTTTTTTTTTTTTTTTTCCTGATTTCCTCAGCAGACACATCTGCTTTTGTTTATTATAGCTCAGCAGGAATTATGAGAGAAGTCGTTTTAAGAAAAAAAGATTTACTCTTTTTTTTTTTTTGAAGCAAATTAACAAGTTTATAGAAAGAGCTTGTCTTAACTTCAAACTCATGCTCTATGACAATTTGAGATGGTGCAGTATCCCTAGAACAGAGTGGCCAATGATAGGTGTGTGGAGTGTGGCTGCGGAAGCTTAGGAAGGCTAGAAGTTTAGATCTTCGTGACATAGTTTTTTACTTTTGCCAAAGACATAAATTCTCAAAAAACTGGGCAATCTCATAAATACAAAAATGTTTCCAAAGACAAACACACATGGTTTTATATTATCTACCATTTTGGATTTTTCACGTCAGTACACTTCCCACTAGTATTGTTGCAGATGGGTGCTTCTGCTCAATAGTTCTCTGCTGTGAAATTTTTGAACAAGTTTTTATCTCCTGAGATGGTTTGGGCCTGGTGGGAATTTGGGCTCTGGTTTTGTGCCATTTGCAGGTGCGAGGAGGATTATGAGCATTAGAGCATTTCACAGGAAACGCTCATCTCCACTGCAGTGAGTTTAAAAGTGGCAGGGCTGGCTGCCTCGCAGGGATCCTTAGAGAGTTTCTAAAGGCCCTGGAAGTGAGGAGAGGGCTGCTCATGCCTTTTGGGTGGTGGGTTAGAAGGCGGGGTCCCCTTATGCAGTCGGGTGCCTAACCTTATAGAGGGCTGCTTGCTCAATGACAGGTGTAGTGGAAATTCCCGCCTACACCTTCGTGTGCATCGCCATGGACAAGGTCGGGAGGAGAACAGTCCTGGCCTACTCTCTTTTCTGCAGCGCGCTGACCTGTGGTGTCGTTATGGTGATCCCCCACGTGAGTTATCTTATGTTTTATTTAGGGAATTGTTAGTTATACTGTGACAGTTTGATGGGAAGAATTTAGCTTATTACAGTTAAGTATGAAGGTCAATTCAGAGTATGATTTGGACAGAGTATATAATATTTAAAAATATGTTTTCTTTAAAACATTCTCTTTCTCTTTCTGTTATATAAGTAATATATGTTCATTTTAGAAAATTTAAGGAGAAACACGTAAAAACAAAACAAAACAAAAAAAACCTAACCTGGGTGCAATTACTCACACTTATAATCCCAACAACTCAAGAGGTTGAGGGTAGGAGGATGGCTTGAGTTCAGGAATTCAAGGCTGCAGTGAGCTCTGATCACACCACTGTACTCCAGCCTGGATGACAGAGTGAGACCTCATCTCAAAAAATAAAAAATATAAAGTTCATAATCCCAATTCCCAGAGATGACCAGTGTTGTATTTTGTAAATGAAATAATCATGTGTGAGGAAAGTCGATCACACTTTCCAGCATCATCATACTGAACATTCACTCATTTATTCATTCAACAAACATTTATCCACCATCTTTTATGTGCCAGGTGCTGGGAACACACAGCGCAGCAAGTTTCCATCAGTGTAACAAGAGGGCATATGGGACCCGTGTGTACTCTTTTGTCTAGGGTGGTCGAGGATGGTGTGCCTCTCAGAGGAGGTGACATGTGATCAGAACTCTCAATGAGGGAGGCAGCCATGGAGACATCTGAAGGATATGAGTCAGATATTCATGACTGTTAGAGTTTCAATACACTGTTTTTCATTGCAGGAGATTAGTAGTTTCCAGTGTCTGGTATGCATACACACCCCCAAGGAGCTTGTTTTGAAAAACAGTTTCTTAGTGAGAAACACTACCAAGAAATTCCTGAAATGACTTCCACATTCCTATATTTTGGCAAACTGCATCCTCGCAAAATACCTCTTGCATCCAGAAGTGCTTCCCCTCTTTTGAAAAAAGATGTTTTCAGACCTGTATTTTAATTCTTGATTTGGAAAATGTCACTATAACAGTACTTAAAATATTTTATTTAATGTTCCCCTGTGATTATATAATCATTAAGCAATAGTATATCAACATTTAGAGCAGAGCATTTTAAGTTTTGCATATCGTTTGAAATTTCATTTAAGCTAACGAGTGACTTCCTTTTATAGTAGCACTTTACTTAATGATTAGGATCGGTGAGCCAAATATTTTATGTAACGAAATTTCCAGGCGATTGATACCAACTAACTGAATGCAATAAAACTACTCAGGACAAGGAGGTCTCTGCTAATTCGAGGGAACTTCATCCACACCTTTAAAAAAGTAGTTTGCAGCCGGGCGCGGTGGCTCACGCCTGTAATCCCAGCACTTTGGGAGGCCGAGGCGGGCGGATCACAAGGTCAGGAGATCGAGACCACGGTGAAACCCTGTCTCTACTAAAAATACAAAAAATTAGCCAGGCGCAGTTGTGGGCGCCTGTAGTCCCAGCTACTTGGGAGGCTGAGGCAGGAGAATGGCGTGAACCCGGGAGGCGGAGCTTGCAGTGAGCCGAGATCGCGCCACTGCACTCCAGCCTGGGCGACAGAGCGAGACTCCGTCTCAAAAAAAATAAATAAATAAAAAAGTAGTTTGCAGTTAATAGTAGTTGAGTAGATGACAGCTGCCTTTAAGTTGGTGAAGAGTTGGGGAACACCAGAACCTTTGAGTTCTACAGTAAAAGGGAAGATGAAAAAGAGGAGATTTCTAGAAATAGAGCATTAACCCACAACCACAAATATCTCCCTTCCAATAAATTTTTCCCCAAATGATAAGGTCGACACAATACAAATATTAATTTAATTAATAATTGTTAATTAATTTACAATTGTAATTAAGGTGACATTAGCTCTTTAATAGAGGCATTCCAGCATCTCAGTGACTTAACATAAAGGATGTTTGTTACCTGGAAAGTTCCATGTATTTGTACCTAGTTGGCCAAAGCGGGAGTGGTGAGTGGGTGTTTGGGTCCATGGAGTCATTCAGGGATGCAGACTGACAGAGGCACTGCCGTCCTTAACACATCAGCCCCAAGGCCACCCTGGGTCTCAGCGTCCAGCTGGCAGATGGGGGAGGAGGGAGATTTCAGAATACAGGGTGTATTTGTTAGTTACCTTTGGAAGTGGAACATGTTAGGGAGAATAAAAACCCAGGTGGAGATAAAGGTTTTGCTGTTGAGGAATGTATCAGCCGCAAAGAAACAAATGAACAAAAAGTCTGTACTAATAGTTCAGTTGCCACTTTCAAATTATTTTCTGAAGATAATTTATAAGCCAGGGATTACTGCCACAAAGGACACAATTTGTTTATTTGTTTTTTTCTAAAGTAAATAGATGAAATAGGTACAAGATCTCACTCTGTTACCCAAGCTGAAGTGCAGTGTTGTGATTATAGCTCTCCGTAATCTCGAACTCCTGGGCTCAAATGATCCTCCTGCCTTAGCTTCCCCAGTAGCTGGGACCATAGGCATGTACCATTACACACAGCTAATTTTTTTGTTTTTCTGTAGAAATGGGGTCTTGCTATGTTGCCCTGGCTGGCCTAAAACTCTTGGCCTCAAGTGATTCTCCTGCCTTAGCCTCCTAGTGCTGGGATTACAGGTGTGAGCCACTGGGCCCGGCCCACAATTTGTTTGTATGGCTCCTTGATTCATTCTGCTGGATCAGTTCCAGAAGGAGTGGGGAAATTCTTGGTGCCACCAGCACTATCTGGGTGTGTCTCCTTCCAAAACAGTCTTCCCAACTGGCTTTTATCACAGTTCAAACCCTCCAAAGTGGATGGGGAGGAGAGACACTAAAACTTGCCTCTACGTTTCATAAAGATGAAAAGCTTTCTCAGACTGTGAGTAGAGTTTAATATATTCAAACAGAAAAATAAGGCTCTTCATACTGAAGGAATTAGAATGTTTTAAGTAGTGATTTTAAAGATTTTATATTTTCCTTTAAAAATATTACTTGTGATGATCTATTCTGCTAAATTTTTTTCAGAAACATTATATTTTGGGTGTGGTGGCAGCTATGGTTGGAAAATTTGCCATTGGGGCAGCGTTTGGCCTCATTTATCTTTATACAGCTGAGCTGTATCCAACCATTGTAAGGTAAGGATGAATTATTTTCTGGTTGTTTTCCTGTTATCTTTCACTTGTGTGTCATTTCATTGTATTTGGCCTTTAAATGTAAATGCTTCTTTTTCATAGACGTTACCTGGATCTCTGAGATGGGAAAATGACATGCTGATACTAATTTTTAGTCTGAGGCTTTGTACCATATTAGCGAGGATATTAAACAAATTATTTTGAAATATCACTCTATTATTCCAAAAACATTTTAAGTTTCAAGTACCATAGACTTCCACTGAGTCTCTGTATTGACTCAAAACTAATTTCTCAGGATGTGTCTCTCCATGTTCTGATGCCAATTGTGTTAGTCTGCGTGGGCTGCTGCAACAAAATACCACAGGCTGGGTGGCTTAAACAATAGAAATTTATTTTCTTATGGTACTGGAGGCTGGAAGTCCAAGAACAAGGTGTCCGCAGGTTTGGATCCTCCTGAGGCCTCTCTCCAAGGTCTTCAGGTGGCACCCTCTTGCTGTGTCCCCAAGGGGTCTTACCTCTGTGTGCACCACTGATGTCCCTCCCTCTTCGTGTAAGACACCAGTCATATTGGATTAGGGCCCCACCCTAACAGCTTCATTTTAACTTAATCACCTCTTTAAATACCTTATCTACAAATGCCGTTACATCATAAAGTACAAGGGGTTGAGACTTCAACACTTGAACTTTGGGAGGCACAACTCAGCCCATAACATCAGTAATCATTGGCTCCCTGAGATTACCTCATCTGGAGGTTTTCAAAGCTGGCAGCTCATCAGAGTCATTGAGGCATTTCATAAAAAATACCAGTCTTGGGTCCTTACACCAGACCTGCTGGATCAATCCAAGAATGAGACTCGGGATTTTTTTTTTTCCCTTTTTTCGAGATGGAGTCTCCTTCTGTCGCCCAGGCTGGAGTACAGTGGTGTGATCTCGGCTCACTGCAAGCTGTGCCTTCTGGGTTCAAGCAATTCTCTTGCCTCAGCCTCCATAGTAGCTGGGATTACAGGTGCACACCACTACACTCTGCTAATTTTTGTATTTTCAATAGGGACGGGGTTTCACCATGTTGGTCAGGTTGGTCTCGAACTCCTGACCTCGTGATCCACCAGCTTTGGCCTCCCAAAGTGTTGGGATTACAGGCGTGAGCCACCGCGCCTGGCCGAGACTCAGGATTTTTAACAAGTCTGCAGGTGACTTCAAGTTTCCACCCCACCTCTTTGGGAATGTCTGATGTGATTCCCACTGATCTGGGAACCTCAGGAACTTTCAGGCTTTTAAAAAGCTTTTCCAAACACATTTTACTTGGAAACTCTTTATGTGGTGAAGAGGACAGAGGTCCTTTATGGAAGCTCTGTTGGGTACCTGGAATCCCCCCCAGTGCTCCTGCCTTCTTGCTCCAGGGGGCTGCAGCAGAACTTCCAGGCCTTAACAGTGCATCCTTTGTAAACCACAGTTCTTGTTGCAGCCCTGTGTCTAGATAAGACAGCTGAGAGCAGGGAGATCAAGTACCTGGTGCAAGACACACAGCTGGGACCCCAGCTATAAAGGGAAAGGATCCTTTCTCTGATTCTCCATTGGATTTTTTTTTTTTTTTTTTCTTTTTGAGACAGAGTCTCACTCTGTTGCCCAGGCTGGAGTGCAATAGTGTGATCTTGGCTCACTGCAATGTCTACCTCCCAGGTTCAAGCGATTCTCCTGCCTCAGCCTCCTGAGTAGCTGGGATTGCAGGTGTACACCACCATGCCCGGCTAATTTTTGTATTTTCAGTAGAGACAGAGTTCCGCCATGTTGGCCAGGCTGGTCTCGAACTCCTGACCTCAAGTGATCCACCCTCCTTGGCCTCCCAAAGTGCTAGGATTACAGGTGTGAGCCACTGCGCCCGGCCCATCAGACTTTTTGACTCTTTTTTTCAAAATGATCCTGTATTTTAAAGTGTAAATAGTGATTAGGGTCACACTGCTGCCAAGAGATGCTTGTCCCACAGATCTCCCTCTGTGAAATTCCATAACAGTTTCCTATCTGCAGTCCTCCCTTAAATCCTCCAAGTGGCATTTTCCTAACACCTGCTTTATCACTAGACATTCCCTGCATTTTCTAAGGGAAAAAATTTGTTAGTGAGCTTGGATAATTTCTTAGCCTGTTAAAGACCCAATCTTAATGGCAACAAATAAACAAACAAGATATTAAGGTTTTTCACAGGAAACTTTAAAAAAAATCTAACTGCTCAGCTAGTGGGTTCATCCCTTTTAGGAGTATATTATTTGTCATGTGTTACAAGTGTGAAAGGCAAGTGACTTCCTGTAGAGATAAGTCCATATAACACCAGCCCAGAGATGCCTCCTCCTTGTCTCCACAAGCAGGAGAGATGTAGGACCTGGGAAATCCATTAGTCAAGAGATAGCATAAATCGTTCCCTAGGAATTTTCCATGCCCGCACACCTGCCTGCTGAAATGCTAGGGCAGGCAGCCCTGTGGACCAGGATGGGTAAGTACATTTGTGTTGGCTGTAGATAGATTAATGGATATCTAGATGGATGGATGGATGGATGGATGGATGGATGGATGGATGGATGGAAGAATGGATAGATAGATAGGTACACACATATATCTAAGAAAAAAGTTTATCAGACTAATATGTGACCAGCGGTATAGAATAGCAGAGGAATAACTCCCTACGTAATTGTCTATTAGCCAAGTTGTCTGAGAGTAGAGTTTTTCTTCTTCCTCCCTACTTCCCCTCTAGGTCACCCAGAATGCTTGGGAGAGCAGTCTAATAATAAATACATCTTCTGTCCATTTTACAGGTTGTGGAACTGGGATTCACACAAGATTAGGGTCATGGTCAAAGGCACCTGGCTAGTCAGTGACCCATCAGAACTCAGATCCACATCTTTTGGCCCTTTTGGATATCCAGTGAAATACATGAGAATTTTTATGGGAGACAGTGCTTAACATTAGCAAGGGATGAGTTGCTAGCGGTAGAGCTTTAGTAGCAGAGGGGAAGAAGGTATTTTGGGGTAAGGGCTGCGTGGACTCTTCTCAGATCATATTGTGAAAGTGGCAGCCCTGTGCAGATGTACAGTAGCAGACAGGCAGAATAACAGATTACATTCTAGCGCTTACAGGTTGACAATGGTGGAGACTAGTTGAATGCAATAGAGAGTGAAGTTGCATAATTGCAAACTTACGTTGTGGCTTTGGCTCCCTTGTGCCTGACCCAGGGAAGAAGTCACTCTAAATCAGGGAGAATATCTTTGGCATGTCCTATGGGACCCTTCTGGCCTCTCAGGTGGATTTCTGCTCAGCCAGGAAAAGCTGCAGATTTTCCCAGTTCAAAATTCAGATTGGACCAGATCCATGCAGTGCCTGGCACATATTAGACTCTCGACACACATGTGCTGAGTGAATGCATGTTATACGCTAAAACGGTGACAATCCAATCAAATAATGTCAATGTGCATTGCAATTATGAATGTTGTAGTATTTTTTAAGATCTTTTTTGTTGGCTTGGTTGTTGGTTTACAACCTCAGGTACATGACCTCAAAAAAATCCTATATGTAAATATTTAATACAGGAAATCTTTAACCAACTCTATGAGCTCCCTAAACACCCTAACACTGCATGCAAAACTTTACTTATGTATGATTTCTTTCTCAGAAGAATGCCATACTTTTAATCAGTTCTTTATAAATGTGTGTGACCCAGAAAAGATGAGGCACCATTAATTTGTAGAGGTACTTACTCACATAAAAGGACAGTCTTTCCTTACTAACATTCTATACATTTTCCTTAAGTAACCTTTAAAGAAAAGCACATTAAGATATTCCTTGACTCTAAAAAATTGAAATAGAGTAGTCCACAGGTATACGACACTTTGTTCTCTCAAATTCCCACTCCCTACCTGAAACAAATTCCTGCTGTAGAAGACCTTATTATTCTCAATGTTAGGCTGGATCAATACACATAAGGGCCTCACCTGCACAGCAGATGAAGAATGGCTTACCTCCGCACTCCTACCTTTTTTTGTCTTGAATTGTCTTGAATTATGTGCACGCTTGTATACACCACTGTTTCACACAATGTAGGTATTGTGATTTTTGAAAAATTTCAGTAAAATTATTTTCAAGCTTACATTTTTTTATGGTCATATGTTGCCTAATGATGGGCATACGTTCTGAGAAATGCATCCTTTGGTGATTTCATGGTTGTCAGAACATCATAGAGTGAACTTACACAAACCTCGATGGCTCAGCCTGCTACACACCCAGGCTGTGTGGCACAGCTTATTCCTCCTTGGCTGTGACCCTCCACAGCATGTTACTGCACTGAATACTGCAGGCAGTCTAACACAGTGGTATTTGTGTATCTAAACGTATTGAAAGATAGAAAAAGTCGAGTTAAAATGTGCTATTATAATCTCATGGGGCCGCCGAGGTTGACCAAAACGTTGTAATGCGGTGCCTGACCGCCCTTATCCTCGTTGGGGAGGGTGGGAAAGGAGCTGCAGAAAGCAGGTCCCTCAATCCCGGGTCACTTGCGCCTTACTCGTCTCGGCCTCTCTCCTCTGTTTCCAGGTCGCTGGCTGTGGGAAGCGGCAGCATGGTATGTCGCCTGGCCAGCATCCTGGCGCCGTTCTCCGTGGACCTCAGCAGCGTTTGGATCTTCATACCACAGGTGCGCTTCAGTTTGCAGACCCTTCCCGAGGTGACACCGAGGCAGTTTCTAATTGCCTATTAGCAACTTCTCTGTTGTTATTTATCAAAAGCCAGTACATCATTTCCTAACGGGGTTTGTAGAAACAACCCCCTTACCAACAGCTCGCCAGTCGGTGAGTAGGGTGGTGGCTGCTTTGTGATTGGCTGTTGGTGGCCTTCCACCACCGCTGAGCTGTTCATTACAACTCTGCCTGCCACAAAAGGGCGTGTCTTCACCCTTCCCTGGAAGCCAGGCCTGTCCCCACCCCCTGGCCTGGCCTTGCCTCTGTGTTTCCACTGAGTTCCTGCTGGGCAAGGCAAATTCTGGGGGCTGCCTGCTCCAAAAAGATTCTGTGGTGCCTAATGGAGAGGGTTAGGAACCCATGGTTCTCAGTTGACCCGAACCTAAGGGGCTCCGTTTCTGGCTCCAGCAGTGTGAGCCATTTGCCTGGCTTCAAAGAGTAAGAGCAGGGACACTTAGTTTGCAGATCCTCAGGTAGGGGCTGAGAGGCCGGGAAGGCACGTGAGCACTGCTGCACCTGGTGAACTCTTCTGCTCAGGAAGAAGATGCGGGATGGGTGGAGGGCAGGTGTGACTTGCCAGCCCACAGACCCTCCCTCTTCCTCCCCTCCAGTGCCTCCTGTCTCTTTTCTGATTGCCCCTTAGATAGACTCAGTCTGCAGGATTTCCTCCCGGCCTCCTCCCTGCCCCCTCTCCTCCCGGCTCCAGGCACAGGTTTCCTCCAACCTCATGGACATTCTCCCTGGATGTCTCACCACAAACTCAATGTCTCCCAAGCAGAACTGGCCAGTGACACCTGTCTCCCACTTTTGGTTAAGGATAGGTCAGTGGCTTCAAGCATGACACTGTGGCATCGGCTTCTTATTCATCCTGTTCTTTCATCACCAAATCCTCACGTTCTCCTTCAAAACCACCCCTGCATGCCTGGCTCCAGTGCCTCCCAGTCTTATCCTTGCTCTTCATCCCCCACCCCGTCTGGGTAGCATAGAAGGCACCACGGCCGTGACCCAGTGCCCCTATCAGCGTCAGAATAAAAGTCCAAACTAAGCGCTATCCAGGTCCTTTCCTGACTGACCCCTTGCCCAGCTCCCCTATTCTGTTCCTTATGCAGCTTCCCCTCCTCTCCACACTCACCCCCACTGCAAGAGTTCCCCTCTCCTCTCTGTCCCACCTCCTCCCCTTCCATGCCACTGCCCAAATGACCCCTCCAAAAAGACCCCTCTCATGTTTTCTGTTAAGTAGCCTTCCAGGTATCCTCTTTCCAAGAGGCCACCCAGATCTAGTGACCCCGCCTCTCCTTTTCTCAAGTGTGTCCGTATAGCATTCAGTGGGTGCCTCTTTCACAGTTGCTGTCGCAGTGTGGCTTTATCATTTGCACGTGTGTCTTCATCACCCCAGTCAGGCTGTTGTGCTTTGCAGAGCAGGACATTTTGCATCCCCACAGCTGGCCCTAGCCGAGTGTTTCTCTCAGCTTGTGTGCCACCCATGCTGTTATTCACCTACTATTTTAGATCAAATAGATTGACTTTTGGAAATTAGGTTTGTCCTAAACAATAATATCAGTGAGGTCATGGGTGTTATACTAATTATGTGTTTTTCTGAAAGACACCAACATAATCTCACAAGTAATAAAACAGTGCTTGGCATCCCCCGGAGCTGCCTTGTACACACAGCAGGTACACATACTGCTCTTCCGGAATCACTGACTTGGCATGAGTGTCTCCCGCGTCCCCGGAGCTGGCGCTTAGTAAAGCGCTTGGATGTGCCATTGGGGTGTTAGAGCCCAGCCTCTTTCTCAGGCTGACTCTGAGGTTAAGAAACCATATGGGCTGTGTGGGAGGTGTTTTGGGAGAGTCTACCACCCTTTTTAGGTCATGAACTTTTCTAGAAGAATCTCCTTTGTGCTAGCACTTGTTTTCCTTATTTTTTTTTAAAAAAAGATAAAATGGAAAAGTGTTTATTAAAATAATAAGTTGAAACATGCAAATATAAAATAGATAAATTTATAAAAGCTAATTACCAAAAATAAAACCAAATAAATATTTTTTAATGGATATCTTTAAGGCTCAGTTAAGGACTACGGACTTAGAAGGGATCTCCAATTTTATTTAACAGATATTTAAACAAGCTCCTTTTATTTTTATTATTTTTCTGAGACAGAGTCTTGCTCTGTCGACCAGGCAGGAGTACAGTGGTCTGATCTTGGCTCACTGCAACCTCTACCTCCCGGGTCAAGCGATTCTCCTGCCTCAGCCTCCCAAGAAGGTGGGATTACAGGCATGTGCCACCAAGGCTGGCTAAGTTTTTAAATATTTTTTAGTAGAGACGGGGTTTCACTAGGTTGGCCAAGCTGGTCTCGAACTCCTGACCTCAGGTGATCAGCCCATCTCGGCCTCCCAAAGTGCTGGAATTACAGTCATAAACCACCATGCCCTGGCTACACAAGCTCTTTTTTAAAGTGCTTTACAAAAATTAGTCTTCATGTAATGCAGATGCTGTTATTCTCTTCATTTTACAGATGAGGAGACTGATGGACAGAAAGTAATTATTAGCCCGGGGTCACACACCTTAAAGGTGACAGAGCTGGGACTTGAACCCAAATACCATGATCCCTTGCCTTTTACACAAGGTCCAACAAACAATCTATACAAAAACGAGCACAGAGCAGTCAGCTCCTTGTCCAGCCTGGCCCTGGGTAGCCCGTTCCTTCTCTAAGACAGTCTCTGGCCGCAAGGTGTGGTGTATATTTGTGGGAGTAGTCTGTGAATGTGCTTCCTTTGGATCTAACGAGTATTGCCTATTGTTTGTAATGAGTCAAAAAAAAAAATCAAATTTCCCATTAAACTTGTTTATGGATGTCAAACTGCCTGGGGAGCCAGTGTTTCATATAAACATGGAAGATGTTTATATTTTCTCTTTTGAAAAGAGGCACATGAAAAATCACTCGTTCTGATGCTTTTATTATCAAGCATTATTTTCTAGTAATCTAAAAAAGGTGGACACGTTAATTAGCTTTTTGTGTGTTCATTAACTCATTTGGCAAACGTTGACTGAGTGTTGGTTTTGAACTAGCCACCCTGCTAGGTGCTAAGGAACAGATGAAAGAAATAGCCTGTCTTGAGGACGTCCAGTCTGGTGGGAAGAGCAGGAGAGCAAATCATCACCAGCCCCAAAGAGAAGGGCTGGAGTGGGGAAATGCCAGGTGTGGTGATTTAAAAGATACAACAGTGGTAATCATGGAACATTAAGAAACATCTTGTTTTTCAGTGTATCATAGCAGTAAGGCAGGAGCGGTGGCTCACACCTGTAATCCCAGCACTTTGGGAGGCCGAGGTGGGCAGATCACAAGGTCAGGAGTTCGAGACTAGCCTGGCCAATATGGTGACACCCCATCTCTACTAAAAATACAATTAGCCAGGTGTGGTGGTATGTGCCTGTAGTCCCAGCTACTCGGGAGGCTGAGGCAGAAGAATCACTTGAACCTGACTGCCTGATTAGTCTTACTACCAAGCTAAGAATATATATATACACACTGCATATATATGTTGCATATATATATATACACCGCATATATATGTTGTGTATATATATATACACCGCATATATATGTTGCGTATCTATATACACCGCATATATATGTTGCGTGTATATATACACTGCATATATATATGTTGCGTATATATATACACCGCATATATATATGTTGCGTATATATATACACACAGAGTAATGAGAGCTTACATTTAATTTCATCCTCTCAACAGTCGTTTGCGACAGATACTATCCTTTCATCCATTTTACAGAAGAGGACTCTGAGGAGCAGAGAGGTTAAGTAACTTGTCCAAGGCCACACAGGTAGCAGGTGCCAAGTACCCAGGCAATATGCATATGGAGATTATAAATGGGTCAAGAACATTTCTTTTTCCTTACTTTTTAATTTTAATTTTTATTTTTTTGAGACCAGGTCTCTGTCACTGAGGTTGCAGTGCAGTGGCGCAATCTTAGCTCACTGCAACCTCTGCCTCCTGGGCTCAAGCGATTCTCCCACCTCAGCCTCCCAAGTAGCTAGGACCACAGGCACGTGCCACCACACCTGGCTAATTTTTGTATTTTTCGTAGAGAGTTTCACCGTATTGTCCAGGTTGGTCTCGAACTCCTGACTTCAAGAGATCCGCCAGACTTAGCCTCCCAAAGTGCTGGGATTACAAGTGTTAACCACTGCACCCAGCCTTTGAGAACTGTTTTTTTTTTTTTTGAGACGGAGTTTCGCTCTTGTCGCCCAGGCTGGAGTGCAGTGGCGGGATCTTGGCTCACGGCAACCTCTGCCTCCTGGGTTCTAGCGATTCTTGTGCCTCAGCCTCCCAAGTAGCTGGGATTACAGGCATGGGCCACCTCACTCAGCTAATTTTGTAATTTTAGTAGAGACGGAGTTTCACCATGTTGGCCAGGCTGGTCTCAAACTCTTGACCTCAGGTGATCCACCACCTCAAGCCTCCCGAAATGCTGGGATTATAGGCATGAACCACCATGCCTGGCCCTTTGAGAACTTTTTGTTGAGGGAAAATAGCCAGCAAAAAGGAAAAGGTCAAAAATCTGTGAGAAGGAGATTGGACCATGGATGGAGGGAGATCTCTGAGGAGGAGGTGAGAGGCGATAGGGTCTGGAGAGCGTGAAAGGATCTGCCTGGCCGGAGGAGGGAGGCGTGGGAAAGGGGGGACTTATTTCAGTGTTTGGTTTGGGGTTTGTGGGCTTGTGGGGAGCTGTCAGGGGAGCAGGAGTGAGGAGGAGGTGGAGAGGTATGATTTGTTTACTGCCTGACTAGTCTTACTACCAAGCTAAGAAGAAAAATTCCATTCTGTTCTGGATCTTCCATTTGATTCTATTTTGCTTTTAGACTTACTCAGTGTTTTTCAGACCCTGACTTAGGGCTCTTCCGGGGTTTCTAGATCACTGGATATACTTGCCATGTCTTGAGAGACCAGAAAACGTCTTTTAAATTCCTTTGGAATGTCACTTGTAATTCCGCTACTGCTTCTGGGTTAAGCTTACTCATATATTTCTAAGAATTAGGTTATCAGTGCTCTGCAAAACAAAATAAAAGACTGCCTTCCCAAGTCTCGTCTGTTATGGATGTGATCTGGCATCGCTTCACATTTGCTCTATGTATTTTATGATTCTCATTCTCAGATGCTATAAACATACCAAGCGTGTAGATTTATGAGAAAAGCCATACCTTAATTTATTTTTATAGGGTCTTTCCAGCAAATATATTTTGCTAAAGGAGTTTAAATTAAGTAAGGATGGATTGTGTTTTTACAGATTGCATGAGATTTAGCTCTGTTAATAAAAACCACCCAGCATCTTCATGATGATAAACAGAGAATAGATATGCAGACTTTAATTTTTAATATGACCTGCATTTTTAAAAGCAAATGCCTTGGCGCTAGTCTAAAAGGCTGCCTTTTATGTGTCAAAACCTGGAAAATAAAGAAATCATACCGAACTGTATGGGAAATTATATGGATCCCTCCCCCATAAAGTGGCAATTTGTTTTCACTGCCTCTGGTTAGCTTCCCCCAAATTCCATAGATTCCGGTTGATTGAAACCTGTTTTCATTCATTCATTCCCTATCATTTACTGAACTCTGATAGTGTACTGATTATTGGGGCAGGGACAGGGTTGACTAAGACACGCGTGGCATGTCCTAACCCAGGGCTCAGTTGCTTGTCTCCTCCGCAAGACTCTGGGGTCTGGAAAGATGGGGCAAGGGTCTTTTTTTCATTGTGACCACAGCTCCTAGGACAGCGCCTTCAGGAGTAATAATGCAGACAGTAGCTGGCAATTGAGTAGGCGCTCCACGGTGGCTCATGAATGAATGAATGAATGAGTGAGTGATGAGATTAAGCCTCATTGGTGACGAAAAGAACTCGAAGTCCAGCACAAGTAACCAAAGGTCTCACTGAGTAATCACAGTGACAACTGTTATGTCAAATTCAATTGCATTACTCTCTGAAAACAGTTAGGAAATTCTGTTCTCCGAAGGGTGTGTTCCTTTCTTGATGTGTCACTTATCATTATTTTTAATTCCTTCTAGTTGTTTGTTGGGACTATGGCCTTCCTGAGTGGAGTGTTAACACTAAAGCTTCCGGAAACCCTTGGGAAACAGCTGGCAACTACTTGGGAGGAGGCTGCAAAACTGGAGTCAGAGAATGAAAGCAATTCAAGCAAATTACTTCCCACAACTAATAATAGTGGGCTGGAAAAAACAGAAGCGATGACCCCCAGGGACTCTGGTCTTGGGTAAATAAATGTGCCATGCGTGCTGTCTAGCACCTGCAATATTATTTACCCTAATGCCTTTGTATTAGAGGAATCTTATTCTCATCTCCCATATGTTGTTTATATGTCTTTTTAATAAATTTTGTAAGAAAATTTTAAAGCAAACATGTTATAAAAGAAATAAAAACTAAGATGAAAATTCTCATTTTTAAAAACTGCTTTCTTATTGCTGCAAAACTATTTTTCCGCATTTGCTTTTCTATGTCGTTGATTCTCAACCTTTCCCACCACCCCCTACCATGCATGCCGGAGGGAGTTCACCTATTTCTATCCCACCAGTGCCACCCCTCCACGGCTTCCCAAAAGAAGGGGGCATGTGAGAATGCTTTTCTTTTGACAAAGCTCCTTGCAGATTCTATTTCTGATATTTTTTCCCCTCTTATGAAAATCATAGCTCTAAAAACAAGTGCTATTCAGAAATGCCCTCTCAAAAAATGCTTACCTTCACAATTAAACCATAAAAAAATCAGAGCTACGAAAATGATGTCTTGCTTCCCAGAACCTTGAGCCAAGAAGGCTTGAATGTGCAGACAGTCGTGCTTGTGTTTGGTCCAGATAAGGGACACTTACCTGCCAGTGTCCAAGAGTGAGCTTTCTAGTCTGGTGTCCTTATTGTCCCAAAGTTACCAAATTCTCTCTATAAGTCTCCTTTACAGCCCAGAGAGGCCGTGACTTTTTAACCCACTGCAACCTTTTTCAGTTGTCAGATCATCCAGGAAACTGACTTTAAGCACCATCTGGATTTGTTGCCAGTGTGAAAATGTTTGTAAGTATTCTTGCCTTTAAAAAAATAATTTACATGAAGACTTTACTCTTTTGTTTTTTTACTATACATTTTTTCCCAACTCTACTTTAAACCATAGTCTTTCAAAATTTTTCAAAAACATTAATATCCTGGACACTTCAACTGCAAATTATGTCATCTTCTTATCTGTGGAAGAATGCATTTCAGATTTACAGTCAGTTTCCCATAGGTTTTGGGTTTTTCCTTACTGTGGTTTCATCATAAGTTCATTTTTTTGTTGTTGTTGCTCTTGAGATTTTGCTATAGGGTGGTATGTCTTATATCCTGCATTTGAATTGGTGAAATATTAGCATTATCTGCAGAGGCAAGTAAAAGAAGGCAGTTACATAGATGTTGTGAGTTTAAGAAGCATTGCCAAGGGGAAAAAAAGGAGGGATTTAACCTGAATTATTGACTTTTTATATGACTTTAGTTCCCTGGGTAATTGCTTAGTTCTGCAGGTGCCTGCAGTCCCAGCTACTCGGGAGGTTGAGGTGGGAGGATTGCTTGAGTTCAGGAGGTGGAAGTTGCAGTAAGCCCACTGCATTCCAGCCTGGGGATAGAGCCAGACCTTGTCTCAAAAAAGGAAAGAAAGAAAGAATCAAATGTTAACTAAGAAGAAGAACTTTAATGGCAGTAGAAAAATAGGCTGAGGGAAAAGAAAAAAGAGACAAAATAAGAAATGAGAGAAAAGCTCAAGAAATGTCTTCCTCCTTTTTCTCCATAAACTCCTATATATGTTATTTTCTTTTATAAAGGGAGAAAAGTTTTTGGCTTTGTTTTTCCTTTGTTAATGGAAAGACCAAGTGAAGAACTAAGCATTTTAACTTAATCACCGTTTGAAGACCTCAACTCCATATATGGTTGCATTCTGAGGGTTGAGATTTCAACATATGAATGTTGAGGCATTTCTTTACATTTTTATTGCCCACTGTCTTTGTCAGTTTGGGCTGCTATTCAAAAAATATCACAAACTGGTCAGCTTAAACAACAGAAATGTATTTCTTACAGCTCTGGAGGCTGGGAAGTCCAACATTCATGTGGCAGAAAAGTAGGTTTTATTCCAGGGCTTTTTCTCTTGACTTTTAGTTGGCTGCTATCTCACTGTGTGCTCACGGGACCATTTCTTTGTGTGCACAGATGTGGAGAGAGAGCAAGCTCTCTGGTGTGTCTCTTATCATAAGGGCATAATCCTGTACAAGGGCCCCACCCTCAGGACCTCATCTAACTCTAATTACCTCCGCAAAGCCCCATCTTCCAATACCATCACATTGATGGGGGGTAGGGCTTCAACATATGAATTTTCAGATCATGACATCTACATATGTGTGACTGTATCAGTCAACGTCTAGTCAGGAAAACAGAAACCACCGGAAATAATTCAAACAGAGAGGAATTTCATGCATAGTTAGTTGTAAAAGTGCAGGAAAAACTGGTGGAACAAAATGGAGAAGTTACCTAGGGATCAGGAAGCCACTACCATGACTGGGTTGGGAGCCCACAAGCCTGCACTTTCTGCTTTCACTGCTCAGGCTGAAACCACATTTCTGCTGCTGACCAGAAACCTAGGAGCCCACATCCCCCACTGATTCTACTGAAACTGCCTATTATGCTTTCAACTGGAAGGGGTTGAATTTTTAGATTAAGTTGGGGAAAATTCACTCTTTTTTCTGGTATTGACTCATCTGTTATCATGGATTATCTCTCTCCATGTACTTGGGTCATCATTAATATCTTTTAATGAAGTATAAGTTTCTCCATAAAGGTTGTACATGTTTTTTGTTATATTCTTACATGTAAATTTCCATTATAATTAGAAATGAGAAGTTTCTAATAATTATATTTTCTGACTGTATATTGCTGGCATAAAAGAGATTGATTTTATATGTTGATTTTGCATCCATCAACCTTGATTAAAGTATTTTTAATTCAAAAGGAAAAAATTTTCTTTACTGGGGCAGGGTGCAGTGGCTCATGCCTGTAATTCCAGCACTTTGGGAGGCTGAGGCAGGTGGATCACCTGAGGCCAGGAATTTGAGACCAGCCTGGCCAACATGGTGAAACCCCACCTCTACTAAAAATACAAAAAAATTAGCCAGGCATGGTGGTGTACACCTGTAAGCCCAGCTACTCAGGAGGCTGAGGCAGGAGAATTCCTTGAACTTGGGAGGCAGATGTTGTAGTGAGCCGAGATTCACCATTGCACTCCAGCCTGGGTGACTCTGTCTTTAAAAAAAAAAGTTTTTTTTTTCTTTACTGGAGGAAAAATTAGGCTTTTTGTTGTAAAAGTTCACAAATGCGTATCATGCAGGAAGCCAAACATACTTTGTTCCTTCAGCATTTCTTAATATGTACAACCTTCTGGTTTTATACTTGGAAAATGGTGATGATCTATAATAGTTGGAACCTAGCTGTAACACATCCGATCTGTCTCTGATTGCAAATATTTCAAAGAGTACTTCACCATAGCATGGGAATGATCAGAGAACAAACCACATACAAGTAGGTAAACTTCAAATAGGTGACCTTGTTTCTCAGTTCTGTGTCACTGAGGTTCATGCACTAACTTGACTTTGACAGGCCACAAAGTGTGAGAGGCAATGGAAGCCTGGAAATAAAAAAGCCCTGGCTATAAGCTTCCTACTTAAGCAAACCAACCTCTCTTTACCTCAGTCTTCTCATTTGGAAATTCAGGATTATCATACAATGTCCCTCTGGGAATGGGAAGATTAAATGAAATAATATATCAACATCATTTAATGCCCCTCTGCACAGCCCCGATATTTTACAAGGCTATTTCTCCATTCACTGTATGTGATTCCACCCACATTAGGTGTCCTGTCCACTCTTGGTCTTGCCCAGTGGGCATGGGGGCCCCGTCTGTCAGTGCTCCACATGCTGTCGCTGTCCTGACTGTGCCCTACCACATGCTGTTATCTTCCCTCATGGACTCTGCAGTTTAGCTACCTGGAGATACCTCTGCAGTTTCCCTTGTGCTCTGGTGTTTAGTTTCCATCCATGATAGCTGCAGGAAAGACTGTGAAGCTAATGACGCATAAACTTCAGGCCCCTTCAGTTGGACAGGCTCCTGTGATGGAGCTTAGTAATAGGTCCACTTGGACATAAGCTTTCACAGAATTTTGTAAATTTTGCAAAAGTAAGATCTAGTCACTACAGTCAGCTGAGACCACTGTCTTTTTCCACTTGGTTTTTCCTTCTGTCACATTCCTCCTCTGTCACATGGCATCAAAGTGGTCACAGGCATTCTTTTCTTTTGTGACTTTGTATTTTTTTCCTCTAAAGAGGGCTCTTGAAACTGTACAAACTTCAGACCCCATAAAAGCTGAATCTGTCCCCTGAATCACTGTTAAAAGGTGTGTTGTTAGGGAGGTTCACACTCAAAATATGCTCTGAATATACTCAATTAAATGCTCTGTTCTGAGGGGCCCACCTGTGTCCTTTCTCTCACTCCTATCAAATATGTAATGAAAACATACTAAATGCAAAACGGTGTAGGCAAGGGGGTACTTAATAAAATCTTTTACATGGTGTAGAGGAACATTTTCTTATCGAAGATGGTAAAGTTGACTATGGCAGCCAATGTCTTTGGCAACTTCCCCCAACAGAATATCTGGAAGTTTGGATGTTTGTTGTTTTACCTGAATTTGCCAGAAGTCAGTGATGGCTGCTCTTTTTATGTCTGAAGTCTACAGTGCACCAGCGTTTCACTGACAACTGCTTGTTCTCTAAGTAAGTTAATTTTTTTAAAATTCCCGGCCTCTCTCTGGGTTCACCCATGCCAGTTGGTGTCAGCCATTCTGCTGGAATTGAGGATCTGAAGAACCCCTTAAGCAATTCTTGGGAAAAAGATCCACTGTCAGGGATTTTACCTGTAGCAACAAGTTGGGGGAGCAGGTGGTCAGCATCAGCATGCTACCTGATTCTTGATTAGTTAGCAGTTTCAGGGAAGCAGTTCAAAAGTACACCAACCCACTCTGGTCAATGTCTAACTAGAATTCTCCCTAAAGCCTGGTGTATAATCTCATTAACCCTGTGAGGATGATTTCACTGTCCTACTTGCCTGCCCCAAACTGCTGTACACATGGGAGTCCCTGGCCCCTGAGCCTGGTATCTTCAATAGTCTTCCAAAGAGTACAGGCTTAGGTCCTGCATTTACTGGCCACGGACACACCAGCAGAGCTAACACCCTGTGAGCCAAGAACACCCATGGGGAGCACAGCAGGGGGGAGGGCGGCTAGGGAAACCCTCAATGTGCTGCAGAGGTGAGGCCCTGGGGACCTCTGCAGCCTAAGTCTAAAAGTCTCTGAAGAAGTGTGGGGAAGATGATGAAGCCCAGCTGCCCTGCAGTCTCAGGGAGATCACGTCAATTCTTCGGACCCCAACCACTCACCTGGCTAGCAATAACACTAGATTCTCCCCAGGTGGTTCCTGAGGTCCCTTTTAAAAGTCATCCTCAATGATACCTACATCAATTTTCCCATTCATTTTCTGAAGGACCCTTCACTCAAGTCATAGTGCTACAGCTCTGTGTTAAAAAAAAAAAAAAAAAAAGGCTTATTAGTCCTATCTGTACAGACTCTGCACTACTACAGACAAGCTTTCTTTCTGGGTTTCACTTCTGAGTATGTTCTCCTCTTGTTGCTTTTCAGGAAAACATAGAATCCTAACATGTGCCAGGGGAAGAAAGAGCCTTCTCAGATCTCTTCCGTGGCTCCCATTGCTTTTTGCACACGGTCTTGCGTCCTAGCCAGATTTCCAGCACTTTCACACGCTGGTCTTGCACAAGCCTCCGCATGAACCCCCCACTCTTTCCTCAGCTCACTTTGAACTTCCTGCCTCTGGGGCTTTGTCTCTCCAGAGATTTTTCTCCCTCCTCTTCTTTGTCCATCCAAATCCCACTGATTGTTTGGGGCCTTCCTCACTTCCCATTTATGCTCCTGGACCGGCCACTGGAGTCCACCATACTCCTCTCTCTCCTGATCCTTCACAGCACCTGCAGTAGGTGCTGTTGGTTAGAGGACAATCTTATTCTGCCTTGTTTCCTTTCTTGAGGGAGAAAACATCTCAGAAGTTCTTAAATCTTTTACAACCCTTGCAGTATGTCTTGGACAAAGTGACTGCTCTGTAAATGTTTGTTGATTGATTTTTTTATAGTAGGTGCTCAATAAAATATGTATACCACCTGTGATACTGGGAACTATGTATTTGGTCTTCATTCCTGTTTCCTTACATATGACTCCTAAAACCCTTGGAATTTCCAGAGTGATAAGATCGTCTTTTGTATGCTAATGAGATATCTGGTGGCTGGGGCCCCCTAGTAAGCTTCAGGATGGGAGCTGGTCATCTGGAAACAACAAGACATGATTAGAGAGTGGGGACTTTCAGCCTTATCCCCAACCTCTGGGGAGAAGGAATTGAAGGTTAAGTTGGCCACTAGTGGCCAATGTTTTAACCATCGTGCCTACATATTAAAGCTTTCATAAAAAAAAGAAAAACACGACAGTGTTTGGGGAGCTTCCAGATGGCTGAATACGTGGAGCTTCCTGGAGGTGGTGCCCCCAGAGAGGACATGGGAGCTTCTTGTCCCTTCCCACATGCCTAGCCCTGGCCGTCTCTTCCACATGGCTCTTCATCTGTATCCTTTGTAATATCCATATTAATAAATGGGTAAAGGTAAGCAAAGTGTTCTCTTGAGTTCTGGAGCCACTCTACCAAATTGAACCATTGTTAATTGAACCTGAAAAGGGGCCTGTAGGGACCCTGATTTTTAGCCCATCAGTCAGAAACCCACAACCTGGGGCTTGTGATTGGCATCCGAAGTAGGGTAAGTCTTGTGGGACTGAGCCCTCAACCTGTGGGATCTGACACTCTCTCCAGGTAGCTGGTGTTAGAATTGAATTGAATTAGAGGACATGCAGCTGCAGTGTCTGCTAGGCAATCTGCAGAATGGGATGCTTAGTGTGTAGGGAGCCAACCCCCACACACCCAGTCACAGGAAGTGTTCTCTATTCAGTGACTGTGACAGTATTGAGCATAGCCGGAGAAAAAGCTGCTTTCCCGCGCCACCCCCGCTCCGGCCCTCAGACCACTTTACAAAGAATTGGACCTATCTCAACTTATCAGAGACCTACAACAGCTTGCAAGGGATTCTTAGTTCATTCTTGGTTTTCAGGTGGGCAATCAAACCCAGAAGTCAGGTGATTTGCTCAAGGTAAAAATGCAGGTCTCCTCACACCAAAGTTTGTGCTTTGGTTAAAAGCTTGAGCTTTGGCCGGGCGCGGTGGCTCACTCCTGTAATCCCAGCACTTTGGGAGGCCGAGGTGGGCAGATCACCAGGTCAGGAGATCGAGACCATCCTGGCTAATGTGGTGAAATCCCATCTCTACTAAGAATACAAAAAATTAGCCGGGCGTGGTGGCAGGCACCTGTAGTCCCAGCTACTCAGGAGGCTGAGACAGGAGAATGGTGTGAATCCAGGAGGCAGAGTTTGCAGTGAGCGGAGATTGCGCCACTGCACTCCAGCCTGGGAGATGGAGCGAGACTCCGTCTCAAAAAAAAAAAAAAAAAAAAAAAGAGCTTGAACCTTGACGTCAGATACCCAGACTGATTTTACCATTTAAGAGACCCTGGGCCCCTTTCTTACTGTCTTAGTCTCAGTGTACTCATCTATAGAATGGGGATAGTGATAATAGTACCTACTTCATAGGGTGGTTGTGATACTTGATGTCATACGTGTGTCTAGCACGTGGTTAATGCTAAATATATGTTATTGAAAATCTTATTGTCACTATTTTGACACATGACACTGCCTCCCTGTAAACAAACTTGTTAACCGATGCCTAGAGCTAAAGCTCATGCCTAGAGCTCAGTAGACACTCATCAAATATTGAATCCCTTCTTTGAATATGTGGGCTAAAGCAGCGATCCCAAATCTCCAGGCCACAGACCACTACCGGTTCGTGTCCTGTTAGGAACTGGCCTCACAGCAGGAGGTGAGCCGTGGGGCAGCAAGTTAAGCTTCATCTTCATTTACAGCCACTCCTTATCATTTGCATTACTGCCTGAGCTCTGCCTCTTGTCAGATCAGCTGAGGCACTAGATTCAATAGGAGCACAAATCCTACTGTAAACTGCACACACAAGGGATCTAGTTTGCATGCTCCTTATGAGAATCTAATGCCTGATGATCTGTCACTGTCTCCCATTACTTCTAGAGAAAACCATCTAGTTGCAGGAAAACAAGCTCAGGGCTCCCACTAATTCTACATTATGTTGGGTTTTATAATTATTTCATTATTTATTACAATGTAATAATAATAAAAATAAAGTGCACAATAAATATAATGCACTTGGATCATCCTGAAACCATATCCCCATCCCCAGTTTGTGGAAAAATTGTCTTCCACGAAACTAACCCCTGGTGCCTAAAAGGCTGGGGACTCCTGGGCTAAAGAATCATGTGGTTCTATCCTAGATTATCTCCTGAATAGTGCTTCCAGCTCCAATCAATCAACAACATTACTCAGCCCTCACCCCCTCCTTATTGCTTCCTCACCAGCTGACCCAGCAGAGCCAGGCACCCGGCTAACTGTGGGCAGCCAAACGAGGTTGGAAGTTGGACAGGCTCACCTATTATTCACCATACCTACAAATCAGCTGGAGAAAGCCCAGGCTGGCAGCCAGATGGAGGGCTCGCGGGCCAGAAAGGGAAGGGCTTGGCAGAGACAGCACCATGGAGATGACAGGTTGAGGTCACTTGCTCCTTTCTCCAGGGCAATGGATGACAGAGACAGCTGTGCAGGCCAATGGAAAGGAAGACCAGGGGGAATGTCCTGAATCAAGTCACCAATGGGAAGCAGTTTCGCTTTCCCTCTGTCTCAGGGCACGAGACCAGCCAGGCACTGCAAAACAAGTTTTGGTGCCAGAGACTTTGGTGGCTTCCAAGACTGCTTTTTCAGAGACAGGTAATTGAATTCTTGCTTTCAGCTGAGGGGTCGTTCCGCCCGTGCTCTGGGAGTTTGGGGGTGTGAATAGGGTCAGGGGACAGTGATGGACAGGCCACTGTGCTAGGACACACCACGTTGCTGGCTCACTCCTCCTCCCTGGTAGCTGGTTATTCTTAGCCACAGATTGCTTGCTCTTTCAACTTAGTTGATTAGAGCTGTTTTGAGAGAGTTTCTGGACACGGGAGGCCGCTGTGAAACAGCGAAGCCAGTAAGGGCATCGGTGGCTGCAGGGCTGCGCTCCTCAAGCCGGACCCCACCAGGCTGCTCCAGCCTGGGCCCCTTCCCTTCTCTTCCCTCAGCCCTGGCAGGCCCGCTCTCTCTCAGCTGACCAGCCCACTGTACAGCAATCAAATTAATGAATCAAATTAACACAGAAATGCATAGACTGCTCGAGGAATAGGAATAACACACTAAATTTCATTGGAGGGTTTTAAAGTCTCATAGTGTGAGAATCTTCAGAACTGGAAGAGAAAGCAGAGGCCACTAACAACCAAGCCCACGTTTCTCCTGCCAAGAGCCCGTGCTGAGGAAGCTGCCCTCCCTTCCAGAGGAAAGGTGAACCGCTGTGTGTGGGTGGCCATGGTTTGTACCATGTGGCCTCCAGTGCCCTGATTACTGTGCTTTGGACAGAGAAGGGCAACTATGCCAAAGTCAGATTCAGAGGCTGGTTGAGCCCAGCAAGCTGGCCTGGTGCTAGAATTTTCTCCAACAGGGGTGGCAATGACCAACTGGGACAATTGCATTTTCTCTCTCTCTGGAGTTTAAACCTGAGCCATACAGAGAGAGTCAGAGCAGGAACAGATGGGGAAAGCCAAGAACAGGGAAGCAAAGGCAGGCGGGGATGCTGACAGTGGAGCCAGGTTCCATGGGTGAGCGGTGGGACACCGGGTGCCAGCCCCAGAACACCCGGCCGGGGCTCCGGGATGTCTGTCCCCTGTATTTCCATTCGGACTCTCCCAAGGAGCCCCCTTTATGAGACCACCTCACTAGGTCTCTCCTATTTACCACCCAAAGGAGCAAGTAATCCATTTGTTCTGTGTTACAGATGAGGGAGTGGAGGCTAGGAGACCATGGGCTGCTCCTCAGGTTACAGAACCAGTCCAGGACAGAGAGGGAACTGGTGACAGTGGTAGATGGCAGAGGAGACTGAGTTCAGCTGCTGGAACTTTCTGTCATGTCCTTATTATTAGAAACAAGTTTGTAGACAGAGTTGAATTTTGAGTTGCTCATGGATCATGCCCCTCACCACTGCTCCTCAGGTAGTTCTGGGAGCAGAGACTACAGCTCTGTGGTTTTCCATCAGCCTTCCCTAGGTTGTGCCTATAGGGAAAATGGTTAAGGAAAGGGGGATGAGGCCAGGCACGGCGGCTCATGCCTGTGATCCCAGCACTTTGGTAAGCTGGGGCAGGCAGATCACAAGGTCAGGAGTTCGAGACCAGCCTGGCCAACATGCTGAAACCCTGCCTCTACTAAAAATACAAAAATTAATCTGGTGTGGTAGTGGGCACCTGTAATCCCAGCTACTCAGGAGGCTGAGGCAGGATAATTGCTTGAACCTGGGAGGCAGAGGTTGCAGTGAGCCGAGGTCTCGTCACTATACTCCAGGCTGGGTGACAGAGCAAGACACCATTTCAGAAAAAAAAAAAAAAGGAAAGGGGGAAGAATGTTTAGAAAACTCCCTCCAAATGCAGACCTACTTACTGGCTGGGTGTTCTAAAGGCAAGTCCAAGCCAGTTTTGTGCTACTCTCTAAAAGCCCATGGACACCTTGTTGCCCATACCCCAATATTTAATGGAAAGCAAGCTTATAGGGATACTCTCTTTATCCCATAAGAAACACCGATAGGCTAAGTCTTATTCCAAGTGGCTGAAGACCTAAGGAAAAAACTGTCAAGGCCAAACTTTATCTGGTTGGGAAAATCCTCAAAACAAGGTGTATAGTCCCCATTTCCCTCGTCACAGGCCCATGGACACAGCACGGATTGCAGTTGTCGGGGCAGGTGTGGTGGGGCTCTCCACAGCTGTGTGTATCTCCAAACTGGTGCCCCAGTGCTCCGTTACCATCATTTCAGACAAGTTTACTCCAGATACCACCAGCGATGTGGCAGCCGGAATGCTTATTCCTCACACTTATCCAGGTGAGAGATTTCAGCTCCTCTATCAGATACAGTAGATGTCAGATAGAATGATGTTAGTGGAATTCTGTTGACAAAGACAGCTGGCTATAGATGTAAGTGTAATATGCAGGGTTTTTTTTCTTTTTTCTTTCTTTTTTTTTTCTTTTTAGACAGGGTCTCTCTCTGTCACCCAGGCTAAAGTGGAGTGGTGCAATCTTGGCTCACTGCCGCCTCGACCTCCTAGGCTCAAATGATCCTCCCACCTCAGCTTCTCGTATACCTGGAACTACAGGTGCACACCATCATACCTGGCTAGTTTTTGTATTTTTGTAGAGACAAGTTCTTGCCATGTTGCCCAGGCTGGTCTCCAACTCCTGGCCTCAAGTGATCCATCCCCCTTGGCCTCCCAAAGTGCTAGGATTCCAGCCGCCATGCTTGGCCGTAATGTGCGGTTTTAACATCCTGTTGGTTCATCTCTTAGGACAGCCTCATTTATGCCGCAGGACAGAAACAACCTCCAAATTTTAACAGCTTAAAAGACAAAAGTTTGTTCTTGCTCACACTACATGTGGATTGAGCATCAGCAAGGGGCCAGCTTGTCTTCAGGGACCTAAGCCGATGGAGCAGATGTCATCCTGATTGTCATCAGAGCTTGTGCCCAGGGACGGAGGGGCGGGGACCTCTGAGGTTCTCACCTCTGTGATTAAACACTTTACAGGAAGCAATTTTCAACGTTTCTGATGATGGCTCATTGGCAGAGTAGGCCACATGTCTCCACACTCAGCTGGAGGCCAGCAAGTGTGATTCTGTAATTCCCAGAGGATGGATAGCAGAAGCATGCGATGAACAGCACTGACGACTACATGATTGGCGGCTCTCTCTTTCCACTGATAACAGTGATGACTGTCAAGTCAGAAATTACTTGTAATGGAGCTAAAATTATCCTAACTTCTAAGCCTGTATAAGAACAATTATCAGTACGTTTGTAATCAGTCAATCATAATTAGTCAATATGTATTAAGGCCTGAGATGCATGGATTTGTTTTTTATTATTATTATTATTTTTAGACAGAGTCTTGCTCTGTCACCCAGGCTGGAGTGCAGTGGCACGATCCTGGCTTACTGACTCCCTGCAACCCCACCTCTGGGGTTCAAGAGATTCTCGTGCCTCAGCCTCCTGAGTAGCTGGGACTACAGGCATGTGGCACCACGCCCAGCTAATTTTTGTATTTTTAGTAGAGACAAGGTTTTGCCATGTTGACCAGGCTGATCTCGGACTCCTGACCTCCCAGATTGCTGGGATTACAGTCATGAGCCACCATGCCCCACCAATGCATTGATTTTTGAACATGTCCATGCATCCTTTCCTTTCCATATTTTCCACTTGAAATGGAGGAGGAAGAAAATAGCATTAAATAGAAACCAAAATCACGTTGCAGTAATGAGATACATACTCACTGTCCCCATTTCCTCATTTCCACTCTCTTTTTCCTCTTTAATTTTATTTTTTTTAATCAAAGTTATATATGCCCATAGTTTAAACCATCGAATAGGTTACAACATTGATTGCAAACCCCAGCAATCTGGAATATAAAAATTGCCCTGTCCTTTTAATCTGGAAACTCTTGTTCTTCAATTTAAGAAGCAATCTTTGAGTTACTCAGTTGTTAACTTCCTCCCTTCTGAAGTCCTTTTCCCTCTTTCTGGAAATGTTAATATGCTGGACCTCCCAGACTGGTCCTCCAATTCTTTTAGCTTTCTCCCCCTCCTGTTTATCTCTCTCTGTTTTACTTTCTGGGAGACTTACTCAATTTTATCTTTTACCTTGCTATTGAATTTTTTATTTCTACTATAACATTTCTAATATTCCAAAGCTCTTTTTTGTTCTCTGAATTTTCCTTTGTTATAACATCTTATTTGTGTTAGAGGGTTGCAATGTCCTCTCTTATCTTTATGAAGATACTAATAACAGTTTTTAAAAACTTTCTCCCTGAATAGTATCTGCGTATCTGTCATCTCCAAACTGTGGGGTGTTTTTTGTTTTTGTTTTTTTATTTTCTCATTTTTCATGATAGAGGTTTTTCTTGGCCATGTGGTATTCTTTACCAGCCTGCTGATGTTTATGAGTGGGACTCTGAAGAGCAGATGGGAATTTCTCAGTGTTTGCGTAGGGCTTGTTGCCAATGAGCTCACTGGAGTAAGAGGGCAGGGCCATTTATTTGGGGACATCTGTGAGACATCACAGTTTAAGTTTTTCTTCTTGGGCAGGTCATGTTTCCCAGGGAAGAGGCTTCCATGTCCTGCCTGGGGAAGGTGAAGGCCCAGATGCCAGCTGGCATTCTAGAAGGTGACAGGGGAAGAGGCTGGGGTCCTAGCATCCAGTTTGCATGTATTTCCTTAACCCTCCTGTTTTCAGCATGGCATCCCTGCCTGGTATTTTCCAGTCCAAAGACCCCTAAGAAAGAACAGACACATCTTTTATTAGGGTGGTAATGGCAGGGACCTTGGCATTGCAGGTGCAGGAACTTGGCTGGTCAGCTCCTGGGAACTGCCTCCCAGGAAACAAACATGGGCACCTGGTGTGTCCACCAGATGCCAGCTGATATAGCTTGGCTATGTCCCCACCCAAATCTCATCTTGAATTGTGGTTCCCATAATCCCTATATGTAGTGGGAGGGACCTGGTAGGAGGTAACTGAATCATGGAGGCAGTTACCGCCATGCTGCTGTTCTCATGATAGTGAGTGATTTCTCAGGAGATCTGATGGTTTTATAAGGGGCTTTTCCCCTTTTGTGCAGCTCAGCTCTCATGCTTCTCTTCCTGCTGCCATGTGAAGAAGGACTTGTTTGCTTCCCTTTCCACCATGATTGTAAGTTTCCTGAGGTCTCCCCAGCCATGCTGAACTGTGAGTCAATTAAATCTCTTTCTTTTATAAACTACCCTGTCTCAGGTATGTCTTTATTAGCAGCGTGAGAACAGATGAATATACCAGCTTATACTAAGTGCTTTTCTTTTGATGAGAGTTCTTGGGACCATTTTCCAGGCTCTCCTTTGCCTGCATCAGGCCTAAGTGAGTGTTCAGAAGGCTGCCAGTTAGTCATGGAATCATCCCTCAAAGAGGATTGCTCATCTGAGGGTTCACAGGGCCATCGAGGCCCGAGTTCTCTCTTTGGCCAGGTGGCTGGGTCTCCTGGACCAGGGTTTTTCTCTCTGTGGTGCTACTAGATAAAGACTTTGGTCTTCTCTTTGGGTTTCTTTCCTACACACTATTCAGACGAGCCCAGTCATAACTATCTCCTGTGCTCATAAATGTCAATACCATATGGAGACCATGCCTGATCTGTAGGGTTGTTGTGGGGATTAAATGAGTTGACATATGAAAAGCATTTAGAACAGTACCTGGCACATAGTAAGCACTATATCGGCATTTGCTATTGTTCCCACCATTCCAGCTATAGTTCTGTTTTAGCAGCACTTGAACATGAATTAGGTCACCAGGCTTCCTAGACCCACTGTTGGATGGGAATTGTCTGTTCTTTGGGATGACTTCTGCAGCATGTGAATCTCAGTCACTATTTTGTTTGTAAGGTTTGGGATGAGAACAGGGAGTTGCATTTTGGTACAACCTCATACACTGGCATAGATTGTTGGGTAAAATCTATTTGTGGTCTAATTTAGTTCCCTCTGCAGCTTATTTTTTATTTATCCCTTATTTCTAAAGCAGCATCCCCAATGTGAAATTTTGGAATATAGTGTTAATTTCACATGGGCAGTACAGGTTTGCTACTAAAGAAATATTTATTGGCTCTATAACAAGCGAATTGTCTGAAAATCCCGCTACTGACATGCCTTCAGTGACCTGGGGGCTTTGCCTGGGAAGCAGGATGTCTCCAAAGGTCTTTCTATCTGTTCCTTGAATTTCAGGGACACCTCTCCAAGTGAAACCAACTTAGCATCCTCTCTGCCTCAGTTCTCTCGTCTCCTCTGTGGCTTCCCTCATAGCAGCCCCTGAGGCTTATTGTTCCCTGGTCCCTAACCTAACCCTAGCCACTCTCTCATGATCCTTCCACAAGAATCAGACGGCCACATACTTCAGCCACAGCTGGATTTGTCTGTGATTTTAGGTCGTTCCTGCTATCTCTGTGCCTACACTGGACACTATTATTTTGAGGCTTAAACCTCAAGGCCTCTTGTTTCGTCCCCAACAGGCCTGGCACTCTTCCAAAAGTTGTGTCTGGGTCCAACCCCGTGTGCTCTGGCAGAGGTGCCTGGGGGATGGTACAGTCCCTGCATGCCCCTGCTGGCCTCAGGAGTGCTACTCTGGCTGGCACCTGATTCCATGGTGTGGAGGGTAATGGCAGCCCCTGCTGGGAAGTCTGGCCTGCAGGGGGCTCGCCTCCAGCATGCAAGCCTTGTTTTCTTGCACCAGGAGGCAAGCCCCTGGGACTCCCCATCGAGGTGCAGTCTGTCCTCTGTCCTGGCTGGCCTGGTCCCCACAGACCTGCCCATGTCATCCACTATGTTTTCAGCCCCCAAGAAAGAGGCCCTCCGTCCTTCATCCTATTGTCTTAACTGTGTAGCCAACTGGATCCCACAGCCATGAACTAAGCTCTGCTCAGGTTGGTTACAGACCTGCCAAGGACCTCTGTAATACACCTAGTACCAAAAACCACCTTCCAGCTGGCTCGCATACCAGGTTTTGACCTTATTGGCCTGTTTTCCCTCCATTGATTAATCATATGAGCAGATTTGGACAGCGTGTGTCAACATGCAAATCTCTTGTTGCTGACACATCCTCTGCCACAATGTGGCACTTTATATCAATATTCCTCCCTGCTTCCTTATTTTATTTTTGCCTCCTTAGTTTTTTCCCAAGTTTCTAGGAAGGAGCTTATTTGAAGCACTGTCATTATCATCATTTTCCTTTCTGTTCCACTTTGCTTTTCTCCATGATTACAGACACACCCATTCACATGCAGAAGCAGTGGTTCCGAGAGACCTTTAACCACCTCTTTGCAATTGCCAATTCTGCAGAAGCTGGAGATGCTGGTGTTCATTTGGTATCAGGGTAAGTGAAGAAATTTGAAGTTATTTTAGAATGTAGCATAATCTTAACAGGCATTAGAGTTCAACATAAAATATGTACTGAGTACCTGCTGTGAGCAGAGTGCTGACTTTGATGCAGGAGGATTCAGAAAGAGCATTATAGACTTTACCCCAAAGAACGGAAGAAAGGCAAGTTATGGTATTAGACTTTTTAACAATAAACAACAATCACAGTTTCTCATCACAGATAGGATTGATTTTGGGTTTCCTCAGAGACCATGCAGTGATTTGCAAATTTGGTTAAAAAAAACATGTAGGAGGTAAATGCTGGGTTTGGGTGATGTGGGGATGGTGCAGCCGATGGAAAGCAAACAGGTATGATGCTGGGATGGCTGCAGAGACCTAAGGGATAGGGGCTTCTTATTTATTCGGTGTCCTTGGAGAAAATTTCCTACAAAAGAAGGAAATTTTGTAGGTCACTAAACTTGCCTTTTGAAGTGCCATTTGGAAAAAAATATTTCTGAAACTGTTAGCACACTTCTATTTCATTTTTAATGTATAATTTCAGTAGGCATGCATAATTAAATGAAAATTTGAGAATAACTGCTATTTAACATTTTTATTAGTAAGACTAGCACTTAAAACATGACATCTTTTAATATCTTCCTAAACTGAGATCACTTAATATTCTATCACTTTCAATTTACATCTCAGTTTCATCATATGACATAACATACATGTCATTGGTGCATATTACACATGTAACATACATGTGTTAATCTGTGTGATAACAGTCTTTCTGCGGCCTTCTGAAAAAATGTGTCTTACCTCCTCTTTTAATACCAGGCTGCCCACTGACGTTTTCTGCTAGTCTAGTGTATACACTTGCATTGGGTGAATGTCTACCCTTTTCTCTTCTTGTTTTTCCTGACCGTCACAAACACCAAGACGATGCTGACGTCAGTAATTTCCCAAAAGCCCCTCCCCAAAGTAGTAGCTTTGCTTTTCTATCAATCTATGGATTGATTCTTCTGTATAAGTAAATCTAGAGCCAGTTGGTGAGCCAAGTAGAAAAAACATTCTCTTTGATTTATGGTTATACTGTCTTTGTCCAAAACCAACATAAGCCAGTCTAATTCACAAATTTTGGCTCTAAGTAATTTTTGGAAACAGCCATGTCCAAAATTCAAATGCCATGTGCATCTCTGGCATAAGTATATAGGCTTATTCATGTATTTATTCCTTCAAAACAACATATTCAGCATTCTTCAGTATCAGGTTCCTTCTTAGGTATTAGGGATATAGCAGTGAGCAATTTAGTAATACTGCTTGGTATATAGTACATGCTTGACAAATATGTGTTGAGTTAATTTTTAAGGAAGCCAGACACAGTCCTGCCCTTATGTAGCTTATGGTCTGTAGAGAATGCAGTAAATCAAATGAGTTACCAAACTCACTGGGGGCATGCGTTACCAAAAGGAAGAAGTTAGGGTGCTATGGAAGCATATGTCTGGAGAAGAAACTTGCTCTGGGAAGTGATGAGAAGCCATCCAGATCAAAGTGTTTCATCCAAGACGGTCAGGAAGAGTGTAAGTTAGTCTGGCGATGTTGCAGAGGTGAAGTGGGGGCGAGGCAGGGTGGGAGATGAAGGAGACAGCATTCTAGATGGAGGAAACAGCATACACCTAGCCCTGAGTCTAGGGTGACTGTGGTGTGTGGGAGGGACTGAAGGAAGTCCAGAGAAATGGGAAGCCATTGAGGGAGTTTACACAGTGAAGTGACTGGTCATAATTGCATTTCAAAAATATGTTTTCTATAGTGTGGAGAATAGATTTGTGGGAAGAGATGATGATGAGATAGATTGGGTGTGGATAATAGAAACAGAGAGTGGATGGACTTGAGAAAGCCTGAGAGGAGATTTGATAGGACTCGTCAGTTGATGGTGTGTGAGAGGTGAGTAGGGAGAGAGAATCAAGGATGATTCCTGGGTTTCTGGCATTGGCACCTGCATGGATGGGTACCATTTTCTGAGTTAGGTAGGATTGGGAAAAGGGTGGATGTGTGTGCGTGTGTGTGTGTGCGTGTGTGTGTAAATGCATGAGACTTCTAAGTGGACTGATCCAGTGGGGAGTAGGTAACATGGGTCTGGATCTGTTTTTGGAGCTCAAGAGAGAGAATGGACTGGAGATATAACCTTCTAAGTGCTTAGGACTGGAAATGTAGCCTTGTAAGGGTCTGGCCTGTAGGCTGTGGTGAAGATACGGAAGAGGGCAGTCTAGCCCAGGGCAAGAGTGGGCCAGCACAGAGCCCTGCAGTAAAGGACATTGGTACCTTCATGGGGACTGCTCTGAATCAATTACCTAGAGATATACACATTCTGATGTGGAAATTATGAGCAACTATGCACAGCACTCAATTATTTTCCTTGCTATTTTTGAGCAATGATGATTTACAACTTTTTTTTTTTTTTTCAGGCAGGGTCTCACTCGTCTAGGCTAGAATGCAATGGTCCAGTTCAGTTCACTGTAACCTCGACCTCTCTGGGCTCAGTTGATCCTCCCACCTCAGCCTCCCCAATAGCTGAGACTATAGGCTTGTGCCTCCACACCCAGCTAATTTTTGTAGTTTTTGTAGAGACAGGGTTTCACCATGTTGCCCAGGCTGGTCCCGAACTTCGCCTCGGCTTCCTAAAGTGCTCGGATTACAGGTGTGAGCCACCATGCCTGGCATTATAACATTTATTCATTTACTGATGAAAACAACCCAATATTACAAATCTAAACATTTGCATAGCAGCTATTAGTAGTACTATTACAACCTTCTTGTTAACAACCAAATCTAGACAGGAGCTTTTTAGAAAAGGAGTACTAAATTCCATCTTATAAAGCATGTTACTTTTAAGATGTTTTATTTGCCCAGTCACCAACAACTGCTATTTAGCTACTGAGTTATCTGAACCTAAGAGAATAGTAAAATAGATCATTTTCTCTTTGTATTTATAGAAACTAAAATTTTTAAATGCTCTAGGCCAAGTGTAGTGGCTGATGCCTATAATCCCAGCACTTTGGGAGGCCAAGGCAGGCAGATCACTTGAGCCCAGGAGTTTGAGACCAGCCTGGGCAACATAGTAAGACTCTGACTCTACAAATAATTTAAAAAATTAGTTGGGCGTGGTAGCACGCACCTGTGGTCCCAGCTACCTGGGAGGCGGAGGTGGGAGGATTGCCTGAGCCCCGGAAGTTGAGGCTACAGTGAGCCATGATTGTGCCACTGCACTCCTGCCTGGGTGATGGAGTGAGACTCTGTCTCAAAAATAAAATATAATAAAACAAAACAAAATAAAATAAATAAAAGCTCTAGAGAATGTCACGTGAAGTTTACTAGAAATATGTTATTTCACAAATTTCAGGAAAAAAATTTCACTTAATATGTTTGAGTTGGCAGATATTTCAGAGCACGCCTACCGAAGAAGTGCCATTCTGGGCTGATGTGGTTCTGGGATTTCGAAGGATGACTGAGGCTGAGCTGAAGAAATTCCCCCAGTATGTGTCTGGTCAGGCTTTTACAACCCTGAAATGCGAATGCCCTGCCTACCTCCCGTGGTTGGAGAAAAGGTCAGTTGAAATGCTCCCTGCTATTTCCTTATCTGTCATAGCCATAAATCACTTCGTAGCTATTCATAAAATACATACTGAAAAGCCTCTGCCATCCCTCAGAGCTCTTTCACATTGTCTTGCCACTCACAAATGGCTAGTGCTTTGTAAAACAATCCGAAGACAGTGTTTGTGTCACAAGGACTAAGTCACACCATGCTTCTAGTAATTTGTCTTCTATTTTTTGGTGTGCACTTTGATGCCTGACTTATTCCCTATCCTTCCTGCCCCAGGTAAAACCCTCTTACTGAAACAGTATCTTAGTTTTCCTCATCTGTAAACTGGAACAGTTTGGAGAATATATTTCTAGCTATAAAATGATATGATTTACTCTAATTCTTTGGATGAGAGAATCTTTTGCTTACTATAAATTATTTTTGAATTTTTTCTCATTTGTGGTAAAGAAAAAAAGTTTCATTATTTCCTTTTATCTTAAATAAGAACTCTGAAATTAAGGACCTATGCAAATTATGCCACTGCTTCCTCACTCAGCTCAGTCCGTGATACCTTGAACTTGCATTTTGGCTTACTTTTCAGGACTTTCAGGAAACTAGTACCTGGTTTCCAGTTAGGAAACACATCAAGAGTATCTCCATTTGAGATACATCAATAAATCTGTCTTTAGTTTAGTCTGCACTTGCAGGCATGTTGCGAGTTGTGAAACACTGATCCTTTCAATTCCCATAGGTGTATATTTTGCTAAATAGGAGCGATGTAAATTATTGGGTAATGTTGGGAAAGTGACTTGAAGTAGGCCGGGGCAACAGTGATCTGGTACCAGACGTAGGTTATAGGATAATTGATTCATATAACTCAAGAATTACACAACTTTTTGTTGAACACTTACATATAGCTGGCATGCTAGAAGCTGGTCAAAAAGAAGGATAAAATATGATTTATTGTAAAAATAATTTCATGGTCAATTGGGGATGACTGCGTGTGTATGTGTTTGTATATTAATTAACAATGGCAGTAACACGCATAGTAAAATAAACTACAGACTTCTGCAGGTTGGAATGGGAGTAGAAAGAAGAAAGCCTAGACCTGCTAGGCACATGTCAGTGGCATCACAATCTAGTTTTGTAGCTTTTCAAGTGCTCTTCTCACTTTTACCTCTTAGCAATTTATATGGGACATTTTGCTTCTATAAGTCCTAGTTTCATAAAACCCATGCCCTTTTGTGCCTTGTTCACTGGCCCATAAACCGCTGTTTAAATGCCAAGTTTGGACTTGTCTACATCAGCTGATAAACGTATATTTTGAGCTATCACATGATGGAGTTGCCCACTAGCCAACAAGCAAATTTTAGCAGCATCTCCATCTTTCCTGTGTGGCAATAGTGTGTATTGTTGAATTTTCCCCCTTATAAAAATGACTAGAAATATAAAATTGGAAGCATTGATGCTAGTGATAAGCAATTGAGGCATCATATAACTTATCTTAATAAAATCCAGAATAAAATATAATAAAACAAAAAAAGTTAGAACATGTGGAAAAAGACAATAAAATGAAATAAAATTTAGGTAAGTGGAAATTATTAGGCATGGCAAAAAATAGTAGAGTTAACTTTAAATGCAATGCATAATTTTTTAGATTATGACCCAAAAAAAGCTCAAAATGGAAGAACATGTACAAAATATTGTGTATAAAAGGTGAGATGTCATTAAGGAGTTTAACTTTTTTTGGTATTACTAGTGGTTTGGGTGTTGAAGTTTCATTATTACCCCCAAGTCCATTGTGTGGCTTTCTCATCTTGGATTTTTGTCTTAAGGATCAGTAAGGTTTCTAGAAAACTTGGCTAGAGCCCTGTGGTCTCCAGCAGATCAGAAAGAGGCAGATGACTGAGAACCTAAGAGTGTTGTTCTCCCTCAGAGACATGGTCTAGGGCTGATTAAGGGCTTTCCTGGGTGGGGACAGCCAGGGGTATGTATCGGGGATGGTAATTGAGAGAGAGCTAAGGGAGGTAGACAAACTCTAATAAACTCTTCATACAGATTCCTAACATTTCGCTTCATTATTTTTGCTTTCTTTTTACTCCTTATACATATTTTCTTTCAGAACCATTTGAAAGTAAGTTGCAGTTTTCCTCTTGTGGCTCAGGCTGGAGTGCAACGGTGTGATCTCAGCTCACTGCAACCTCCACCTTCCGGGTTCAAGTGATTCTCCTGTTTCAGCTCTCAAGTAGCTGGGATTACAGGTGCCCGCCACCACACCCAGCTAATTTTTGTATTTTTAGTAGAGATGGGGTTTCACCATGTTGGTCAGGCTGGTCTCAAACTCCTGACCTTAGGTGATCCACCCGTCTTGGCCTCCCAAAGTGCTGGGATTACAGGCATGAGCCACCGCGCCTGGCCCCAGGTTTAAATATTTAAATACTTGTTCTCAGAACAAGGGTATCCTCTTACATAAACACAGTAGTATAATAAAATCAATATCATTATATTGACACAACACTAAAATCTATGGACCTTATTCATATTCTGCCAATTGTCCAAATAATGTCCACATATAAATATAAATACACACAACCTATAATTTTTTCCAGTCCATGATCCCATTGCAGTCACACATTGTCTTCAGTTGTCATGTCTCTTTGGTCTCTAGTCTGTCTTTGTCTTTTATTACACTTACAAGTTTGAATAGTACAGATCAGTTGTTTTGTATAATAGAATGTCCCTCAGTTGGGGTTTGTGTGATGTTTCCTCGGGATGGGATTGAGGTCCTGCATTTTGGGAGCTTATAGGTAATCAGGGAAGGGAATGCATAGAAGTAATGTTGAATACTTATTGCATCATAGCAGGAGGCAGACGATATCAGTTTATCCCCTTATTGGGGCTGCTAACTTTCATCACCCAGAATGTCAGGTATCTCTACTGTGAGGTTACTGCTTTTTCTCTTTGTAATTACTAAATATTTTGTTGTGACATACCTGAGACTATGTAAATATCCTATTCCCATGAAATGAGTTCCCATGAAAGTAGTACTTTCACCTACGAGTTTTAGTATCCATTGATGATTCTTGCCTGAACTATTTATTACTGTGATGTTTGCCAAGTGATCATTTTATAACTCCATCTACATAGTTTGCTTTCTACTGTAAAGAAGTTTTCCTTTTCCTATATTTATTTATATCAGCATGAACTGATGGATACCTATTTTATTCAATGAATTATAATTTACTCCCTCTAATTATTTTGATGTTCAAATTGTCCAAGATTAGCTGAGTAGGAGCCCCTTCAAAGTGCTCTTGTGTCTTTTTGATATGTTCACTTGATATGCTTTTTTTTTAAAGCACTTTTTTTACTTTGGGGCACAACAAAATTCCACACACCCCAAATTTTGAGAAGAAAAACGTTTTCTTTTCATGAATATTTTCCACCATCTTTCCCTTAACACAAACCGGATGCAATGCCACAATTTAAATTTATGAATTCAGTGAAGAAAGAAATCATCTTTTCTCTTTTTCCATTCTCTTTTCCTCTGTCCCCTGACATTTTCACTCTGTTGCAATGTAAATCCTGATTTGAGGTGTAGCTAAAGAACACACCCAGCATCAGACCTACCTCTACCACAACCACCAGGAACGCCAAGTTGACATTTAGGATTTCTAGATTCCTAAGAGTGCTGCATCTTCACATGGCAGCAAGGGGGCCCAGGGGCATGCCAGGAAGCACCCACCCTCTTTCCGTATCTTCCCTGAAGACAGTTGTCCTTGGCCACTCCTTGGGCTCCGGGGTGCACACAGTGGCACAGTCTGCCCCTGGGAGGAAGACAGTGCAGGCCCTGGAAAAGGACAGGGAATATGGGGATCCTGGGTCCCCAGAAGACGGGCTAGAAGTGAAGGGAGAGGACTCTGGCTGGGCGCATGCCTGAGCGCCACACACTCAAGAAGAAGGGTATGGCTGGAGAAAGGCCAGAGCGGGGTCCTCTGGTTGACCAGCCGAAAGAAGGCGCGGCTCAGATGAGCCAGAGTAAGTTTTGAGTCCTAGTGATAGCCTTGAGCTTAGGAGTAATCAGGGAAGGGGGTGTGACGCTTTCTTCACAAACTTTCTTCACCCAAACTTTCACTGAAGCATTGGCTCTAAAGTCTAGAGGTGAAATGCAAATGCTTACCTCCTCCTGGGAGCGAGGGCTCATTGCTTTCATTTTGCTTTAAGGGGCAAATTGTTGATAAGGCCCTGGGGAGACCAGGAGAGTTCTGATGGGGCAGGGAGGGGGCGTGAAGGCCCAGGGTACTTGAAGAGGTGTCACTGTGGGAGGGAGCAAAGGCAGGGACGCCAGCCTCCCCCCCAGCACACAGTCATCTCCTCTGAGGAGTCCTCGTAAGTCTCCCAGTTGGCCTGGTGCCGCCCTGCGTCGTGGGCAGTGTCTTCCTCTGCGGGGGCTGGGGCTCCCCACGCGGGACGGTGAGTGGGCGCCAGTCCCCGCCCCGGCCCGCTCCTGCGCACGCTCCCGGCTCCCACTACTCCCGGCAGCCCGCGTCATTTCCACACCGAACCAAATACCATCTCAATGATGTCTTCTTCCTGCTTCCAAAGCATCGCCTTCTGGAAGACAGGCCCCGGAGTTCCATCATCGCTGTGTTTTCAGGCCTGACCGCTGACTGCGGGAGGAAGGCTTAGGTCAACCCTGCCACCCCGTCCTCAGCTGCGGGCTTGCGGTCGGCATTTCCCGCCACTTAAAATGACCCCCGCCAGGGGGCTTCAGGCCGCGGGGACCGCAACGCCATCGACCTGAGACCGGCGGGGGCGGGCGGTGCCTGGGATTACGCCGCCTCCGGGCTGTGAGTCGGTTATCGGCAGCGGGGAGGAGAGGACCGAGGGCTGCCCTCGTGCCCCAGAGTCCTGGGGAGACCTTCTTCAGTCCGTTTGTTTGATGTGCGGGCCCGCCAGGAAGGCGGCGGAGACGTCAGTGCCGCAGACAGAAGGCACGGGGTGTGCTGCGGGGGATATCTGGAGCACAGAACATAATGTTCAAATATTAACACATGGAATCTACAATGTAAGAATCAAAAAACCCACAAAATCAAAATAATGTTCAAATAATGATCAGTTAAAACTTTTCAAAATTGAAATATCATCCTTAAGGAAACATAAGTGACATACAGGTATGGAGGGTAAAAATACTCATAGATGATGCACTGAGTCTTGCATTTTACAGTAGCATGAAAAACCCCTAAGCACTTTTTAAAAATAAAAGGTCTTTATTGAGCAACTATAGTGTGTTAGGCACAGTGTTATGCTTTTTCCAGATGTTGTCTCATTTCATTTTCACAACGAGCCTAGGGAGTCAGTATTATTACCCCCATATTATGAATACAGGATTAAAGCTTAGAGAAGTGGAATAACTTGGCCAAGGTCATATGAATCGTAAAGGGTAGAGGCCTCCTAAGCACTTTTTAAAGATGTTTTCTTTGTGTTCACCTTTTGAAAGATTATAAACACACTGAAACGTGTTGCTCAGTATTACTACAAAACTCCAATTTACTCTTCTTTCTATGCCAATGTTAAGGTGAAAAACAACCTTTACAGAGTTATTTTACCTTTAAAAACATTTATCTATTACTGTATGTTTAAGAACATAATTTAAGTTTCCAAATTGGTTGTTCTTACCGAGAGAGCCAAAAAAAAACCTGTCCCCATAAAATTTGCTACATTAAATACTTTTTATCTATGAACAGTTTTACTTATAAAACAACCAAACACAACAGTAGCTCCAGCTTCATTCTCTCTCTTTTAACTACTTTTAATTACACCAAAAAGTAATCCATTGGCTTTATTGGTTCTCTGTGGCCCCAAAGTGTAGATGCTTGCCTGATTCTTTTCTTTGGTTTGCTCGTTTCAGGTAAACAACACACTCCCTTCCTTGGATTTTTAGAATAAAAAGCAACCGAATTTAGGTTCTGTTGTTTGAAGCACTGATGCTGGCAATGCAGCTTGCATTTAATAGGAAGTGCGTTGCAGGTTCATGTGATCTCAGAGCAAGCGGAACCTCTGGGTTCTTCTTGCCTCCTGAGGGTGCTGGACAGAGTTCAAGCCCTCAACAAATATTTGTTGAATAATCAATGAGTCTAATCCAGAGGGTTCAAACTGTTCTTGAAACTGCTCAGTGGAGATACTTCAGAGGTCTCTGCAGAGGGAGGGAGTGTGAAGAGACTGAGCAGATGGAGCTCTGCCCAGCAGCTTGGCCTTCAGTCAGATGCAGAGAACTGCAAAGATGCTGAGACGACAGCCTGTGGCTGGTACTTGATGGAATATGAAGCTGAGCTATTGGGGTCAGGGTCTAAGATGCCACTGAGTAGCAATGTTGGTCTCTTCTGCACTCATCAACGTGAGGCATTTTCTTTCTTTCTTTCTTTCTTTCTTTCTTTCCTTCCTTCCTTCTTTCTTTCCTTCCTTCCTTCCTTCCTTCCTTCCTTCCTTTCTCTCTCTCTCTCTCTCTCTCTCCCCTTCCTTCCTTCCCTCCTTCTTTTCTTTTCTTTTCTTTTTGAGATGGTGTCTTGCTCTGTCTCCTAGGCTTGAGCACAGTGGCGCGATCTCAGCTTGAACCTACACCTCCTAAGTTCAAGGGATCTTCCCATCTCAGCCTCCTGAGTAGCTGGAATTACAGGCGTGTACCACCACGAACGTGAGGCATTTTCTAGAAATGCAATTCAGCATCAGAAGGCCAGTTTTCTGCTGATCTTAATACAAGTTTCAATTAAACTTTCCAACCGGGAAGTGGGGTGGAAAGTTAGAATCACTTCAAAGAGTCCCTCCTTGCTAAGTTAAAATCAGTTGTCAAACCCATGCCATCATTGACCACCATAGCCACTGCAGAAATTTCTGTCTTTTCTTATTATTTTCCTTCACATTAAATCTGTTTATCTGGCCTTGAAAGTAGATAGTGCTCAGAACTGCTGTGATGATCACTTCTGCTCTCTCAGGGGCAGGCAGGATACAAGCACTCTGTCTCCATTTTCGAGGTCAGCCCTTCCCAGTTTCTCCCTGAAACGGCTTGGATTGCAGCAGTCGGAGAAAGAAGATGCCAAAGTTGTGCCACCCTGTATTTTTCTCCAGACAAAAAGAACCAATAGGATGTGTAAGATCGGCGTGGTGAGTTGGCAGGCAAGCAGGAGAACCAGGAGAGCCGATGGTGTAGCTCCAGTCCAAAGGCCAGCAGGCTTGAAATCCAGGAAGAGTCAACGTTTTTGTTCCAGTCCAAAAAGAGGAAAAAGCCAATGTCCCAGTTGGAAGGCAGTTCAGCAGAAGGAATTCTTTCTTCCTTGGAAAAGAGTCAACTTTTTTGTTTTATTCAGGCTTTCAACTGATAAGATGAGGCCTACCCACATTAAAGAAGGCAACTAGCTTTACTCTGCCTACGGATTTAAATGTTTTTCTCATTCAAAAATATTTTCCGCAGAAACACACAGAGTATGTGTGACCAAATATCTGAGAACCCATAGCCCAATCAAGTTGACACATAAATTAACCATCACAGGCCCAAACCAGGATTTCATATTGTCTTTAGTATTGGCTAACACTTACTTCCAGTCCACTAGGTATGGGGCACTTAGCTGGGTCATAGGGATGGTAAGAAACATAAGATACAATCTCTCCCCTTGAGGAATTCGTGATTTATTGATAACAGTCCTCTAAAATGTATTGTGATTGATGACTGTTCAAAGTAGTGGCCATTATTTTATTGGAACCTCACAACCATCCTGTGAGACAGGCAAGGGAGGTATCCTCCCCACGATGCAGATGAGGAAACTGAGATTTGGAGAAGTGAGGTGAGTTGGCCAAGAGCTCAAAGCTAATGTGAGGCAGAGCTGGGACATAAAGCCAGGCCTTCTGATTTCACACCACTTCTCCTTTAAAACTTAGTCAGTTCTGCCAAGCGTTTACACTTCTGTCTGCCAGTTCCTCTGTCAGCCCTTGAGGAAGGGCACTGCCACTCACACCCTTCTGGTCCCTCTTAGCAGCGCCCTGCATGCAAGCATTCGGTCTGCATCTATTGAACAGAGCTGCTGATAGTCTCTTTCTCTATTCTACAAGTGACCTGTGAATAAGATTACACGTCCTGGAGGTTATTGTTTAGTGGGTAGACTTTCTGTTTTGTGAGATTAAAAAAGTTCTGGAGGCCGGGTGTGGTGGCTCATGCCTATAATCCCAGCACTTTGGGAGGCAGAGGCACGTGGATTGACTGAGCTCATGAGTTGCAGACCAGCCTGGGCAACATGGCGAAAACCTGTCTCTATCAAAAATACAAAAAATTAGCCGGGCATGGTGGCACATGCCTGTGGTCTCAGCTACTCAGGAGGCTGAGGTGGGAGGATCACTTATGCCCAGGAATTCAAGGCTGCAGTGAGCTGAGATCATGCCACTGCACTCCAGCCTGGGTGACAGAGTGAGACCCCATCTCAGAAAAAATAAAAATGTTCTGGAGATGGATAGCTCATATGGATGGTGATGACGGTTGCACAACAAGGTGAATGTGCTTAATACTACTGAACTTTACACTTAAAAATCATCAAAATGGTAAATTTTTTTTTTTTTTGAGACAGTCTCGCTCTGCCGCCCAGGCTGGAGTGCAGTGGCGTGATCTTGGCTCACTGCAAGCTCCGCCTCCCGGGGTCACGCCATTCTCCTGCCTCAGCCTCCCGAGGAGCTGGGACTACAGGTGCCCGCCACCTCGCCCGGCTAGTTTTTTTGTATTTTTTAGTAGAGACGGGGTTTCACCGTGTCAGCCAGGATGGTCTCGATCTCCTGACCTCGTGATCCGCCCGTCTCGGCCTCCCAAAGTGCTGGGATTACAGGCTTGAGCCACCGCACCCGGCCCAAAATGGTAAATTTTATGTTATGTGTATTTTACCTCAATTTAAATAAAGACTACAGGTACTGGATAAGCCATTTCTTTTCATGATTGATATAGTTGGTCCAAAAAACATAACAATTACCAATCACAGCTGCCATTTAGCTCATCAGCTACAAATATTTTGTGTTCTTCTCGTGCTAACACACTTGTAGACATAAAGCTGGTGGGGATATGACCCCTGTATCTTTTAGTTAGGGAGACCAGACTAATACAAAGGAGCATGCAAGAGTTAACAATATGAGATAAAATGTATCAAATTTAGGTGTTAAATAAGTAGTAGAAATAAGAAATGCTTGGACATTTAAAATACCAAATCAACTTGGCATTTATTCAGCATCTATAACAATATAGGAATTCTACAAAATTTTAAAAGGGCAAAGCATATAATTACCTTTGTTTTGAACTTTCAAGTGGTTTCCATTTAGATTCAACTTTAGAAATCCCCAGTTCCTAGGATGTGAAGCAGTTGATGGCTAGAATTTGGCCTGACTGGGCCCTGGAAGCTCCTGGGGTGTTTGTTCATCAGATGATCGCCTAATTTTTGTTCCTGGGTTCCTTTTCTTTACTTCCTAGAAGTAGTTGATCAGGATGCTAACAAAGGTTCACTTCATGACCTCTCTTCCATAGGATAAAAGGAAGTGGAGGCTGGATGCTCACTCGGCGAATAGACGACCTGTGGGAACTTTATCCGTCCTTCGACATCGTGGTCAACTGTTCAGGCCTTGGAAGCAGACAGCTTGCAGGAGACTCAAAGATTTTCCCTGTAAGGGGCCAAGTGCTCCAAGTTCAGGCTCCCTGGGTGGAGCATTTTATCCGAGATGGCAGTGGGCTGACGTATATTTATCCTGGTACATCCCATGTAACCCTAGGTGGAACTAGGCAAAAAGGGGACTGGAATCTGTCCCCAGATGCAGAAAATAGCAGAGAAATTCTTTCCCGATGCTGTGCTCTGGAGCCCTCCCTCCACGGAGCCTGCAACATCAGGGAGAAGGTGGGCTTGAGGCCCTACAGGCCAGGTGTGCGACTGCAGACAGAGCTCCTTGCCCGAGATGGCCGGAGGCTGCCTGTAGTCCACCACTATGGCCATGGGAGTGGGGGCATCTCGGTGCACTGGGGCACTGCTCTGGAGGCTGCCAGGCTGGTGAGCGAGTGTGTCCATGCCCTCAGGACCCCCATTCCCAAGTCAAAGCTGTAGATGACATAAAATGACAGCAAATAGACTGAGAGACTGTTGATCAAAGCACAGAATAGGTTCAAATGACTTTTCCACTGCATGTACGTTTAATTAGACATTTCTTTGTTTTCAACATTAGAAGTGGTATAACATGTAAGCTGAGCACAGTGGCATGCCTATAGTCCCGGCTACTTGAGAGGCTGAGGCAGGAGGATCACTTAAGCCCAGGAGTTTAAGTGCAATCTGGATAATATAACCAGACCCCACCTCTAAAAAACCCAACAACAACAAAAGAAATGATGCAACATGTAGGCTTCCTTAGGAAGTCTACCATTAATGACATAGGGCATAAAGCTCTATTTTTTGTTAAAAATACTTCTTATAGAGTAAAATTTCTTTAGAACTGATGTCCAAGGACCTATGCAGATTTATATGAATGTTGGAAGCTACAGAGATTTTGATATCATTTGCCTTATAAATCCACAGGAAGAGATAATGTACGGAAAACACTTAAATCACTGTCAATTGTAGAGCTGCCCGTGATCTTCGTAGGTTATAGCCAAGTCAGCAACATAATTCCTCTAAATAAAATTATATGGTGCTCACACAATGCAGGATTATTATGTTTAATTGAAGACAAAGCATGCTTGCTCCTAGTACTGGCGGCAACCTTTTCCTCCCCTCAGCTGGTAATGATGGTGGGAGACAGAGATGAAGCTGCCTGTGGATGTCATATCAATTCACTAGCTGCCTGGGGTCAAACACCTAGGGGTTGTACATTCCATTACTGTAAATGATTGAGAGCTGGTTTGCGGTATGGTTGGCTTAAGCATTTTTGAAGATGAACAGCATGTGCAGCCAAAGAACTAATTTGCTAATTAAGGTGAAACAATCATTCTGAATGAAATATAATCAGAGTATTCTGCAGTTTGTTAAGAAGTTTTGGGGAGGAGGGGAATGTGTCTCACAATAAAATGAGTTGGAATTGTGGAGCTAAATGAATTGAACCTGTTTTTTGACTCAGGCCTACTCAGAGCCTTTAATGTGTGCATGTGTAATGTGAATCCTCTCGAGAGCTTGGGTGGACGGAAAAGGACGTGCTGGTATTGAGGTAAAGAGGCTTGAGGAGGCTGGGCACGGTGGCTCACACCTCCAATCCCAGTACTTTGGGAGGCCGAGGTGGGTGGATCACCTGAGTTCAGGAGTTCAAGACCAGCTTGGCCAGCATGGTGAAAGCTCATCTCTACAAAAATACAAAAATTAGCTGTGCATGATGGCGGGTGCCTGTAATCCCAGCTACTCAGGAGGCTGAGGTAGGAGAATCGCTTGAGCCCGGGAGATGGAGGTTTCAGTGAACTGAGACACACCATTACACTCCAGCCTGGGTGACAAAGCAAGACTCCGTCTCAAAAAAAAAAAAAGGCTTGAGGAGAAATGGCTTTAATTTTAATTTTTGGGGAAGATGACTTCTGTTAAATGATACAGTAAATTCTATTTTGGACATCCTGAGTGAGATATAGGGTTGCCAATGAAGAAAGTGTGGGAAAGAGAAAGCTCTCAGCACAGCTACAGCTTTGCTGTTGTGTTCATTCAGAACTTGCATATAATTTTGTTTGCAGAGAACATTCTGCTGGTAGACAGCGAGAGAAGAGCCCACCAGTGTTTTATGCAATCAGAATCGTTGCTTGCAGTATTAACATTCTCAAGGAAAATCAAATGTGGGCTCTTTTCTATAGACTTCCACCAGGGGGTGGTGTTGTATCAGATTCAGATACATTGGCACATTCAAAAATTTAGAAATGACTAGAAATAAAAGATGGATACCAGGTATATATATAGTGTGTGTGCTTCTTTTGAGATTTTGGAGTTTATACACCCCAAGTGCAACTCTTCTGAATTCTAAGTATTTGAAAAATGTATAAGTTTAGACAGACTGGAAACACACATATGTATCATACATAATCTGTGAAAAATAAAAGATTATGATAAAATGGCATTTTTTAAAGAAGGAAATAATTTTTTAATAGTTAAAAATAAAAATGAAGGCCACGGTTCAGAATAGGTAGAATTTCTGTCATTTTGAGGCAGCTTTAAGTGTACTCCTTTGTTCACTGTGCCTGTGGTTTAGATCCTGTGGCATTTTCATTGTGTGTGGTGGCTCAACTTCTATGACCTTTGCCTATTTGCTACTCTAGTTCAGCTTCACTCTGCATTTTATATTTCTAAAGTGCAACGCTGCAAGAGTGCAAGATTGGAGGCTTCTTGAGAAAGTGGTTGTGGCTGCATGCCCTGATTTCATTTTCACTAATTGCTAAGTATTTGTTCACAGTATCTCTGAAATATTATTCATTTTGGTCAGTAGCTGCCAACCTGGGCTGCACCTTAGAATCACCTGGGAAGTTTTTAAACAATGTCGACGCCCAGCACTGCTTTATGAAATTAGAATCTTTGGTGGGTGAGGCGGAGCTGCTGCATCAGTGTTTACTTAAAGCAGTCCACGAAGTTCTGAGAGCCAGGGCTGAGAACCGCTGAGCACTCCTTCCCTCCTCTCCTTCTAGGCCCCCGCTGCTAGCATCACCATTATCCTTCCCTTCCTTCCCCACTAACTTGGTGCATGGAGCTCAGACGGATGTGCTCACTCAGGCAAGTGTGTCCTTAGGCACTTCTGGGCAAGCTGGCCTAGAAGAATTAGCTGTCTCCCAAAGTAGCTCTTTAGAAATACTGGAACCACCTTGCTGGCTATCGGTCAGCTGCTCCAAGACAGCTCTCTGTCTTTATCTGAAAGACAAGAGACTGAGTGTACAAATGGACAATGGCTAGACCACATATAAAAATAGAACTCTGGCCCACGAGCTGCAGCAACCTGCCCAGGAAACCAATTCCCTTATCTACAATAAACAACACAGGAAGCCAGCCTCCTATGTGAGTATTTCAGACCTGCAGGAAGCCAGATTGCTATCTCTAGAAATAATCCAGAAAGATAAACAATAACTTCTGTAACAATTCGCACAAAATGGCCAGGACTTGATTAATAACTGACAGCATCCCTAATTTTTGCCCCTACCTCTAATTTAGAACAAATCAGAGAAAAAAAAATATTTGCCCCCACTTCTAACTTAGGACCAACCACATAGGATGTTCTGCTTCCAGTTAACTCGCCTACAGTGTCCCCAGGCCTATCAGGACATATATGAAGTCTTCTCTTTTTTCTGTTGTGAGGCTTTCTCACCCCTCTGCCTACCTTTGAATCTCTGCCAAATGTAAGTGTGTAAGTGTGATGGGCTGACTCCCTTGCTATAGTAAAATCTAAAGAAATAGGCTTTGCCTTTCTCATTTGACTGGTGTATTAGTCAGGGTTCTCCAGAGAAGCAGAACCAGTAGGACATATGTAGATACATAGAAAGAAATTTCTTATGAGGGTTGGCTCACACAATTCTGGAGGCTGAGAAATCCCATGATGTGCTGTCTGCACGCTGGAGGCCCGGAAGCACTGGTGTAGTTCTAGTCCAAGCCTGAATGCCTGAGACCCAGAGGAGCCAGTGGAGTAAGTCTGAAGGCCACAGTGCTGAAATCCAGGGGCAGGAGAAGACAGATGTCCTAGCTCAAGCAGAGAGCAAATTTGTCCTTCCTCACCTTTTTCTTCTATTCAGGCCCTCAACAGATTGGATGATGTCCACTCACATTGGTGAAGACAATCTTTTAACTTACTGATTCAAATGCTTCTCTCTTCCGAAGATATCCTCATATATACACCCAGAAATAATGTGTTGCCAGCCAGCTGGGCACCCTTAGCTCAGTCCATTTGACACATAAAATTAACCATCACAGCTGATCTTCATTTACTTCAAAGATTTCAATGTTTATATAAGTTGAGGTCTTCCTGGGTAATCGGTGCTACTGCCTGAGAATAGACTGCTTTATTTTTTCTTTCTTGTTTTCTGTTTCAGAACATCTTTTATTTCTTTCTGAACATGAAGAACAACTGATTTCCTTCTTAAATCTCTGCTTTCAAGTGTCTGGCCTTTGTGGCTGAGTGTCTGCCTGCTGTGTCTGTGACCCGGAGGAGCGAGGCTGCTTTGAGCCCTGTCAGTGCCAGCGTGTGTTTCTTCTGCAGGCAAAGGTTATGCACAAACTTCTAGGATTTTTTTTTTTTCAACTTTTGGGATTTTATTTGCTTAGGAAGAAAAAATGTTAAACAGAAAGGCCATAGCCCAGTTGGACACAGTTGTATAGAAGAAAGGCTATTTTTAAAAATGACATATATTCTTCTTTTTATTGAATAGTGCATTCAAATCAACTGATATTTGAACCAGTTTTTCTCAATCAATTAAAAGCTTTTGGAAAAAAGGAAGAAAAGGTTGGTGGAACATGTGTCCACTGGGAGTTGTAGTTCTTAGAAACCTGTTCCAGGACTTACATAACTTGTCAAATATTTGAAACAAATGTAGCATTTTTTTTATGTCTCTCATTTTTCTTCTTAAGGGTGTGAATGATGGAGGCACATTTGAAACCTGCTTCCTCAGGATATCATTCACTCAAGAAAAGCCAATTGAGATATTTAAGTGGTCCCTTTCTTCTTGAAAAATCTCAGCAGTTTTCCACCAGGCCTGGGGGTTTTATTATCCTAAGTGACTTTGCTGCCTATAAATCACAGCCCTAAGTAGCCAAAGGGAATGCGTTAACCAGATCTCTTAGAAATATAACCAATGTTTCTTCAATTATTAGCAGAACAATTGACTTCCATCTACTCAGGGCACCTGTCAACCTGGCCTGCAGCCATGATTCCCACAATTCCACCCGCCAGAGACTGTTCCCCTTGAATTATAAATTTTTTTTATCCTGGTGTGTGTTCTATGGTAGGAGTCCAGGACCCAATTTTTCATGTATCCCAGTATTTCTCTTCCTTGCAGATCCAAGTCATCTGGCAATGGAACTCAACCAGTGTGATTGAAACTCCACAGGGTCTTCCTGCTCTGCCCAGGACTCCTTTCCTGGGAAATCTACTCAGACCTGGAAGATTCACTGTGTGGGCAGTATCCCTCAGGCCCTACCTCTCTGGTCACAGCTGATTGGATCAGAGGAAACTGTCACGTTTAGGCCCCATTGCAGGTAACAGAAACCCCCTAAATATCTGTTTAAACAAGGTGGGCATGTATTTCACTCACATAAAAGAAGCCTCAATATAGGCAGTTTAGGGCTGTTGTGAGGTCTCCAATGGTCATCAGTGATCCAGGCTCCTTCCAGCTCATACTGTGCTATCTCAAGGGTGTGGCCCTCGTGCTCACATCCAACATGGCAGTCAGAGCTCCAGCCATCACATCATTATATCCACCCTCCAAGGACACTTCCTGGAAGGTTCACATAACACCTTTGCTTGTATTTTACTTCACAGGATTTAGCCCCAGAGTTACACTGAGATTCAAGGGAAACTGGGAATGTAGTCTTTTGTCTTGGTGGCAATGTAAAAGTCAGGGTTTTAGTAGGCTCTGCAAAAGTATCAAACTATAAATTGAGTTAGGTCAGTGTTTGGGCTCAGAAACTGAAACCCCAGAATATGGCACGTTGACATGCTGAACTGAAGAAGTCTCAAGGTCTGTCTGACCTCCTCTACCCCATCCTCTGTTTCTCCCAAAGCACAGGATGCAGCTGTTCTCTGAAGTTCCCTTATCTGCCTGAAGTCCAAACCACCAAAGAAAAAATCAATGACCTCTGGTACCTTCCCTGAGTTTTCATCAACTGAACTCATATGACAGGAAGAAAGACTGAAGTCTGTCAACGCACCTGGACAGACTTCTGTCACAAACCATTGTCTGCTCTGCAGACCCAACAAACTTTGTCCCAGGCCATTATATGTTCTTTCAACCCATTGAATTCCCCTAAAGATCATTTACAACTCCACTAAAATCATCCACACTTTCCCATCTTCCTTTCCCCTACGAAGAAGGGTATAGAACCATCTGTACCCCCATTGAATCGTGGGGACTCACTCTGATTCACC